TTTTTTTTTTTTTTTTTTTTTTTTTTTTTTTTTTTTTTTAGAGGACGATTTCAACTTTGGGTGTTTCATTTTACAATCCGCAAACAGGCATTTTAGCATTTTAGATCTGATTCTTGTCAGGTCATCCTTTTTTTTTTTTTGTTTTTAATACTCTAGTTCTTGAATTCTGCCAGGAGAAAAATAGGTGTATGCTAATATTAGTTGTTTATTTCCTTTCGAGGGAAGGAGTGAAGAGGCGAGAAAAGAGTAACATTGGACTAAAGCAAATAAAACAAATATACTCCTTGCAAACGTTCTGAGGAAATAGATGTGTATGTACATCCTTAGAAATACATATCTAATTTTAGTCTTGAAATATAGAGAGGGAGATGCTTTCTCTTTCAGCATGCACTGAAATTTGACTTTAAAGCTTTCCAGTGCATTCATATTTGTGGGGCTGATGACAGAGCAAATGATCGTACTGTGTGATCACACGTGCTTACTGACCGAGAGCAGCCAGCGCTCCTGGTGCGCTTTAGGCCATGCACGTATGGGCATGAGCTAGTTTTGAGGGCAAAATGTCAGTCTGTTCCCTTATTTATAGGACTAAGCAACCCACTTCTGGAGCCGATCCCCATGAAGTGGCTGTGTGCAGCCTGTCCGGACTGTGCCCTTGTCAGCGCGCTGCGCTCAGGCCCGGCAGCCGGCTTCTGAGGGAGCCTGGGCCCAGCGCCCGCTGACACCAGGGCAGCAACTCCGTGCTGCTCTGCGTGGAAAGATTCGCTCATTTCCACCCAAAGCGGTGAAATAGAAACGGGCAGCCATTTCATTTTGAAATACCCCGCCCTCCTAAACAAATATTAAAAAGAAAATGTAGGTTTTGGCCCGTGGGTATCCCAGTAATTTCCACTGATTAAGTTGACGCTTGTAATTGGGATCTAGGTGGTCCGTGTTTTGCAGAACATTAAGTATCTTTGTTTTTTGATTTCAGTAGAGGAAGTCACAAGATTTATACAGTCCCTTTGATATTTTATTTAACCCAATAACTGCTTGGGAAGGTAGGAGCCTGTTTGGTTTACCTTTGTCCTAGATTCAGTTTTAATATCTAATGCATAAATGAGAGGGGTGATCTTTATTCCTAATGATTCATGCTGCCTCAGAGCACCGTGGTTTCGAGTTGTGCTGCCTTTCCCACTGGGGGATGCAAACAAAAGAACAATAATTTCAGACTCCTCCTTCAGTTTCCAAGAGAACCTTAGCTGCTCAGGGATAGCTCTGAATTTTAAAAGCATTTTTCTTCCAAATTATGTATTGATTGCACATAAAATAGCAGTGCTGTAATGTGCAATTTAAAACAAATGCATGATGGCGCTTATTTGCTTTTAATGCTGCTTTTTTCCAGCAGAAAACAAAAAGGGGTTTCTGTTCCCATAAACCAGTCTTGCAAAACCCTTACAAACATTTATTAGTCTAGACACAAAATATTCTCACCCAGCCTCATCCTGACGATGGCAAAAAGAAACCGACAAGCTAATATTGTACTTGGCTGTCCAGAAAAAATAAAAAAGAAAGGGATGCTGGGGGTGAAGGGTGGGAATCTAGCCCCAGGCCACCAAACCAGTAACGTTTTGCTGGGGCTGCCTACAACAACAGATGCGTTTGATTCCTGTGGGTTTTCCAGGCCTGCCTATTCTCTTATGCTAAACTTGGACACTCTCATAAACATTCTCTCTCAGCACCACACCCTGGTCTTATCCTGGACTCCTTGGAGTTGGTTGATTTAATAATGACATTAGACACTTTGTCTTGCCTCTCTTTACCTGTTTTTCTGTTCCTCTTCTTGCCCTGGAAGTGACTTAACAAATGCATTAATTCAAAAACATTTAAAATATGTGGGAATTGGAATAACTGGTCGAAATCAAAATGATTTAATATGGGAGATTTGACCACAGTTTAAGTCTGAGCGTATGGAGCATTGGTCTAAATGATCTATTCTAGTTTTGAACTGCATTTGGACTTCTGATATCTTTCATAAATAGCAAATGCTTCTTATTGTTTGGTTTCATGGTTGTTTGCAGACTTTTGCTTAGAGGGATAAATTCTCTATGTAAGTGTTATTTTATCAGGTGTTTACCTCAGCATTCAGTTACTCACATTATTAATTTTTACATCTCATCATTTTCTTAGAAAATAGTGAGTTACACATATCTCGTGTTTCAGACAACGATTAGCTCCTGTCACTCCAATTTATGCCAGACTGCATTTGGTCGGAAATTAAAATTTAATTGAAAATTTGCCTAAGCAGCATAATGTGTCTGTATTATTAATTAGTTGCTGTAAATATGGAGAATATACAAGAATATGTGTTTGTTGAAGCTTTTAAAAACCCATAAAGGAGTCAAAATACAATACTTACTTACACTTAGTAGATTACATTGATTGTTTCTGTGATGATATATCCGTGTATGTTCAGGTTTTAGCCCCAGTGGAGCTCGTGCTCAAATCCTAACTGGAGATCTTACATAGGAAATAAAATGTCCTGCTTTTTCAGCTCTGAGGGGGTGGAAACTTCTCTTGTCATTCAGAAGATGATTTGCATCTCCGCTCAGTGCAACTGTCTTCAAAGTGAATGGCTTTCTGTACAGTTAGTCATTGATTGCCACTGATTCCATGTTTTCACCAAGAATTTCCAAGTGGCATCTAAAAAGAAAATATATATATATTAACCAAGTTGTTTTTTCTTCATTTTTATATTCCATTAATAAAAATGGATCTGATTATAGTTAGAACAGTACTTCGGCCAGCGATCAGTGTACTTAAAGGCGGATGACTGCTTTAATGAGGGGAGTAAACTCTTCAAAAGGGCTGACAACAGCAGGACTAGGGGAAATGGATCCAAGTTGAAGGAGGGAAGATTTAGGTTGGATGTTAGGGGGAAGTTCTTTACTAGGAGAGTGGTTAGGCCCTGGAACGGGCTGCCCAGGGAGGTTGTGGATGCCCCGTCCTTGGACGTGTTTAAGGCCAGGTTGGACGGGGTCCTGGGCAACCTGATCTAAATGTGTATGTTTGGTGGCCCTGCTAGGCAGGGGGGTTGGAACTACATGATCCTTGGGGTCCCTTCCAACCCGGGTGATTCTGTGATTCTGTGATTCTGTAATGTTGATAAACCAGGTGTTACTTACGAGGGAATGTGTTCAGTGCATTCGTAAAATATTAACATAAATTAACAAAGTGTTTCTAATTAATTGATTTTTATTTTCCTCCTCTAAATAATAGCATGCTTAAATGCAGCACTGATTGTTCTCTTCCTGCGTGGCCCCCAATGCTATCTTCTGTGGCATGCAATTTTCTTGAGGTTTTCTCATGCTTCTTAAGTCTGTTTTCGTAGCACACATGGTATTTTAAATAAAATTCTACTGTCAATTCTCATTTAAATCAGTCAGAACACTGTTTTGACCCTAGGATATCTATGCAGCTTTAAATTACCTGTATATTTTAAAACAAAACTAATCCGATTTTGTGTTTAAACTTAATGTAAAAGCCCTGCAGCTATTCATTTGAAGCACAGTGTTTTATTTAACTGCATCCTTTTCACTTAAATCTCGTTGTCCTAATTTTCCATGATTATACCAGTACATAGCAGACAGGTGAAATAAAGTAGCCTGTTTCTTTAATCCACTTTCTCTCTTCCCTGCCAGGACAGCTGGGCTCCTTCTGCCAGAGTAGCTCACACCACTGACAGCTCTGGGAAAGCAGAAAAAGGTGCAGCCCCTGTTCTACCTATGGCAGCGTCTCCTGGACTGGAGGTGGAGATTACAAATGGGGATCTGGGCAGTTAAGAGGGGGGAAATTAAGTCATGAAGTCAAGCATGTGGTCAGAATGTGGGGAGTGAGCCTGGAAGGGGTGTTGGCTCCTTTAAAAGCCTTTATTTCTCCCTGGATACTTGAGTAAACTGTTATCTCTCTGACTTCCCCAGGTGACTGAACTTCCAGATTCAGCTTTTTATTCAGCTCATTATCCTTGGAAAGCTCTGTATTCCCATGTCTTTTACTCCTTTTGTCACTGGCCTCATTGGCAGTAAACAGTGTTTATCCACTCTGTGAGTACACAGAATAAGATGCTATCTCCCACAGAAATCAGCAGGAGCATCTTAGTAGTACAGAACAGTGCTCAGCAGGAGGATGGAGTCGGGTCACTGTTGCAAATAAAAATGCTTTGCTTTTTGCAAAGGTTAGCATGGAACCCAGTGGTGTTTTATTAGGTGGTTGAGACCTGCAGAGACTGGTTCTGCAGGCAACTCAGTCTGGCCTCCTCGCTTGTTGTTATAAGGTGATGCATCCCCAAATCACAGGGGGATGTCTTAGTTTCAGCTGGGATCGCAGAATCACGGAATTGATGGAATTGTTTTCTTCGGAGTGTCTGGTATGATTCTGTGTTTTGGTTTTAGGAGAATCCTTTTCTCTTAGTAAATAGTTTTAGCTCAGCCCACAAGTTCTACTTTGTTTTTCTCTATTCTCTCTCTTCTCTCCCCCATCCCACTGGGACGCTTTGTGGGGGACTGAGTGAACGACTGCGCGGTGCTCAGCCACCTGCAGGGTTAAACCAGAAATAAAGCAGAACAGACGGCCCTTCTGGACATTGGCTAATCCAACCTCCTGCTCAAAACAAGGTTAACTTTGAAGTTAGATAGGGCTGTTCTGGGTCTTTCCAAGTTTTGAAAACTTCCAAGAATTAAAATGCCTTTAAAGTTCCCAGTACATCTGCACAACCTCTGCAGCAACTGCCTGCACTCCATAGCCAGCACTGAGATGCTGTAACTGCTGTGGCTGTGCCCCAGAGTTCTTCAGGAGCAGACTGAGGGTATGTTGGCATTGCACTGCGATACTCACCAATGTAAGCAAGCTTCACATTCTCATCTTGATCTTGATGGTAGTTCAGCACTGCAGTGGGGGTACTGCACTTAATGGCAGAGTCTGAGTGCCCTGCATAAGGAGAGGGAAACTCAAGTGTTTCATACTTGTGAAAAATAAAAAGTGTGGATGCATGATCAGTGTTGGATCAGGCTGGAGGATAACATCCTGAAGAAATTCTGGAAGGTCAGCTGTGCTTGCAGGCATGGACAGAAAGTTTTATACATGTCACCATTATGGAGGAGTCTGTCAGTGGGGACCAGGTGAATTTTAGCTTTTGTTCACCTTGAATTATGTAACTTGCCTTACAGTAAAGTTGATATATGATGCTGGAAGCCATGTTAAAAAGATACACGTATCTGAAATGTCAGCTACAAAGTCATGTTTTTGACTTGCAAGTGGAGAAGCAAAGCATGTGACAAAATAAACAGAAGACTTAACTGTGTAGCGCAGTCTTTGATCTTCTCATAAAGTGGAGCTGAGGTGCTGTAGGAGCCTTTCAGAAGGGGTGGGATGGGAGCAGGTGTGGCTGGGGCATGCAGAAGGGGTAGTAAGGAAGTGCAGGTGAGCAAAAGCCCACAGGGCCTGTGTGGCTCTGAAGAGTAGTTGCAGCCTTGATGGCAGCCTTAAAGTCCATCTCAACAAGTGCTGGACTAGGTTTGTACAGTAGGATCTCTTTTTTCAAGTGACACTCCATGTACATGCTTATTTCTATTCATAGAATACTGGCTCCTACAAGCACTGGATTCATGCTTTTATGTTCAAATGTTTTGGAATCTTTTACAAATTACTTAAATCCAGGATCTGTATTCTGGTGTATTCAAGTCTGTGCATGGAGTATGTAGCAGTGCGTGTTAGCATCTCGTGGTGAGTCCATTCCAAGTCCTTGTTTTTGTTTTCCTAAATCTCTGATGTGAGAATTTCTGACTTATTTCTGCTTTAGGGCTGTTTTTCTTTGAAAATTCCTTGAATTTTGGGGAAACGTTCAACTGGTTCAAAAGCAAAGTGAGCAGAAAGTGAAGAAGGAAGCAAGAGATAGAAGTGAGGCAGACTCTGTACGAACCACTTTATCTTTTCCTGAACAGCTCTGTGCCTCAGGGATTTGACATAGGAATCAAGATTTGGCAAGGATCTAGCCCTGAGGTCTGAGAAAAGTGTTCTGCTGTTTTCAGAGAGAGAGAGGGAAAACGGGAGAAAAAGAAAAGAATTTGGCAGAATTATGAGCCGTAATGTATCGCTACCTTTTAGTATTCAAGGTAAAATTTACGGGATGTTTTGTCATCTGCTCTTGATAGTAGTTTTATGCCTGTCATGCACATTTGCATGCTTCTTTAGACCACCTGCCTTAAGTGGGTTCCCCTCCTCTGAGTAGGTTGGTACATTGGCATGCAGCAGCGCGGTGCTGGCCTGGTGTCAGGTGGAGAAGCTCTGGGAGCCAGCAAGCTCTGAGCTCTCGTCCCACTTGTTTAAGGGTAGAGAGCTCCCAAGCCTGTTAATTGCCGTTGAGATTTCATTTCACTACAGTAAAGGGAAAATAATAACGAATGCAAATAGCAGCTGATCTGGAATCTGGTTTGCAGTGTGATGAGGGCATGCACAGTTAGTTTCAGTCGGTGGAGGAGGGGGAGAGGAGAGGGAGACAATCTGTGCTGAGCTGTGTCACCTCTAACAGCGCGGGGGTTCCTGTATAGCAACGAGATGATGAGGGAATGAGTCGGGCTATCTAGCAAAGGAGACCATCTGTAGGGCTGCTGCGTTCCTCCTGAAAAAGCTGAAAGGTGCCTGGGGACACGAGCTCCAGGAAGTGAAAGGAAGGTCTGGTACTTCCAGCACTAGGCTAGGGCCTGGGAAAGATAAGGTCTCTAGAAATTTTTCAGCTGAAAGAAAAAAAACAAACGCACATTTGAGTTGAAAGGAACATTTTGTGAAGTCGTGTCTGTGCCAGATTGCTTCGTTTTAAAGAAGGAAATTCCAGGAGAACAAAACCTTTTGTTTTGATGTTTTAAGGAGAAACTTTTTCATAAACAGTTTCTAAAACGAATCAATTTTAACTGTTATGGTTTTTAAAAGCTAACCTGAAGCAAACATTTTGGGGGTTGAATTAAATGTTTAATCAACCCAAAATGCATTCTGCAATCTTTTCAGGTCAGTAATGTTATTTCCTCTTCCTTTCTGTTTTCAGTGTAACAGCACAGCAAGCAAAACAAAATAGCTGTAACTATGCAGAAAAATCAGTCTCCAACTCTGCTCCCATTTTGTTGGATATGACAGGCATTTATATCAGCCAGGTCTGTTACTTTTAAGAATGATCCTGCAGAGATGGTAAAAGCACTGAGTGCTCACAGTGTGAATTAAATACCGTAGGGGGCTAAAAATCAAGACCAGCCAATGTGATGTTGAGCTGCTAAAATAAGTAACAGAAAATACTTGCTTATTTATGTGCCTGAGGAGCAGAAACAGAAGCCATATATGTTAAAGATGCTGGCTCACCAGTATACCCGTGATTGTTAAGTACCTATCAGATTTGATCAGTAGCTCGTATGTGATCAGACCTAAAACCTGGCTATGGTTTTGTGCCAAAAGCAGTAGCATGATTTGTGCTCACTGTAGAGGTACCTGGAAAGTATTTTCTAACAGAGAAAGATAACATGGGTCATTTAATGATCACTTCTAACCTAAAATGCTGATTTTTACTGTGATGGATATCATGCTCATTATCCTTTAAAACCAACAAGGATTGGAGTTAACCATGAAGATTGTCATATATTCTCTGGCAGGTTCCTTTTAGTCTCCAGAGGGCTTCATGTTCACTTCCCATTTGTCAGCCTCAACTCAGGTCTGGTTTTGGCTTATTAGAAAGTGTATGTGGGCAGGAGTAGAGCAACTTTTGGTATTTGCCTGCGGGAGCCATTGCAAACTAATGCAGCAAGGACTTTAAGCTTGCCCCTGTATTGCAGCACACCTGAAGTCCTACTACTATCAGTCTGATAGGTTTTGCTCCCATTTTGACGTGGAACATGTTTTAAAACTGGAATGAAATGTGAATATTGTGGGGTTTACACTGAGATTTGGTTTTATTTTAGAGTAATAAGCAGTAATATCTTCTATGCTTTGCAGGTGTTGAACAACTGAAGAAACTGGCTCCGTAAAACATCATCTTTCACCTTCCTCACTGAAAGGCAGTACAGTTGCAGTCCCATCAGAGCAGATTATGGCTATACTGAGCTCTGTGCAGAATAGTTCTTGGCTTGGATACAGCGACTCAGACAGAATGGTAATAGTTAAGAGTGGGCTAAACAAAGGATTGACAGTTCCATATTGTTGCGGATTAACCAGAAGCTGTACAAAGAAGACAGAACACAGCTTTCTGTGCTGACAAAGGCAATTTATGATGTAGGTGATCTTAAAAGTTAGAAGCGATTCCCATTCCTCAGTCTTCTGCTAAGCTACCCTATTTGTGCACATTCTTCCAATGGCATTATTTGAGTTTGGCTCTATCTTGTTTTGTTGTTTTTTCCTCTTTTTTTTTTTTTTTTTGTATGGTGGATAGAGGTGTCATGCAGCAAGTAGGGAAAATGACTTTTCATAAAGCATACAGCCTGAACACGTGTGTACAATGCGTTTTGTAACCTCATTTATTTTGTGCAGCATCAGCTTTTCTTGTTTGGAGGCTGGAAGGAAGGGATGAGTAATAATTTTGTCCTGGAAACGGGTTCTTTTACTTCTTTTTCTGTTACTGTGAACCATGTCTTTTCCTTCTAAAACTCTTATCAAAGAGGCAAGAGGTTTCTGCCTGCATTTAGAAAACGCTTACATAAATCTTTATCCAAATCTGCTACGGAGACAACATCTAAGTGTTGAATTTCACTCTGGAGGATGTCTGTCCTAGTAAAATTATTAATGAATTGGGGTTAGTATCTGTTTGTGTTCTATTTCTGGAGAGCTGTGTCCTGAGCAATTGCCAGTTCAAAGATAAAAATACAAGTTCCTGGACCTTCAAAAATGTGTGCCTGCACTCACTTTATTTTTTTGTTTGTATCTGGGAAAATACCTTTTATGGACTGGTTTTGCTAGAGATGTCAGTTGTATGTAATTTTACCCCAGATTTTGAAAAAGTGCCGTTCTTCACCTCTAGGGTACGACTGGCTTTCTGAGCTGCAAGCACATCTGTTAGCTTGTCTTTTTTTTTTCATCTGCTGAAACATCCAAGGCTGATCTCGATCCATTCATCTCTTAGTTGTGTGCTAATGTTTGGAATTGTTCTAATTCAGGTGTATTACTTTGGTCTTAGCTTTGTTTAACCTTAGATTCACAAGCGCTTGTCTTTCAAGCTTGTCAGGTCCCTGTGGATGTCATTCCTTCCTTCTGTCCTGTCAGCTCTACCACCTAGCTCAGTATCATCCGCAGACTTGCTGAGAGTGCACTTGATCCCACTGTCTATGTCATTAATAAAGATATTAAACAGTACTGGTCCCAGTATGGACCTCTGAGGCCACCACTCATCAGAGATCTCCACCTGGATATTGACCCACTGACTGTAACTCTCTGGATAAAGTCAGCCAGCCAAAGATGCTGCTTTTGGCATATTGTGAATACTTGAAATACTTTGTGAGAAACCAAATTGCACAATACAGTTTCAGTATAGAGAAATAAAAATACAGTCCAAACAGGAATAGAACACCTTAAAAACATTTTCTTATGTATTTGATCCTGAAGTATTTAAGGGGCAAGCCAAAGTGTCCTCTGGACCATTAGTGATGGTCTTTAAGAATTTGTGAAGGCTGAGGGGTAGTCTTTGTGGACACGAAACAAGCAAATGTAATGGCCAATATTAAATGAGAGAGCAGAGGAGGAGGACATCCAGAGAATTACACTTCAATTAACAAAATATTCGTACCCAGAAATATATAGGACAAATTTACTAAAAAAAAAAGAAAAAGCTATCTTTAAGCACCTAGAGAGTGAGATTTTTTCTTTTAAGGAAAAAAGAAAAGGTGAATTTCTCAAAACCAAGTCCCACACACCATGCCAAGCCAATTAATTTACTTTCATTCCCTGTTAAGGGAACAGGATGTCACAGACCCTGCCAAAGACAAAATACATGACGGGGCTGCACTTGGTGTTCTTGTAAGAAGTACAGAAAGGATGTTTTAGAGGAACTTAAGCACAAAGGTGATGCATAATTGCTTTGATTTTTTTATGCAAGTATGAGTTTTCATAATTACCTGATAAAGTGGAAGAGCACATCAAGCAGCATGCTGCAGATGAAGTAATCCCATTGGTAACCAGTGCAAGGGAGTGGAGGTTTCTGTACAGTTTGTAGAGGACAGAAGGCTGAGAAAGGTTGCAAACATCTGGCTTTGTTGAGATTTTAGTGAATGCTGTTGTAGCTCTTGACAGCTCTTATTTACACAGGATTCTAAAATCACAGTGTCCTGTGGGGGAAAAAAAAAAAGAAAAAAAGAAAAAAGAAGTAGTGTAATGAGTATCATAGAACAGTTTGGTTTAGAAGGGATCTTTAAGATCACCTAGTTCCAGCCCCCTGCTACAGGCAGGGTCACCTTCTTCTAGACCAGGTTGCTCACAGCCCCATGCAGCCTGGCCTTGAATGCTTCCAGGGAAGGGAGGAGAGTATAGGAACAGTTTCCTGCTCAGTAAACAGCAGAGGAATGGGATAATCTTCTGTGCACAGCGAGCAAAACCAAACCACAGCAAAAAGGGACATGTTACAGAGATTAAACTACAAAGGCACAGATGATCCAATGGCACGTAGGCTTATAGGCACTATGAATGTTGTTTGCTAAGGGAGGGAATAGGGGAGAAACGCTCATTGATTTGTTGGACAGGGTTTGCACTTTATTTATTATCTCAAGCTTTATCTAGGCATGCTGCAGTATTGTGTGTGAGGTCAAACACTGCTTTCTTTCACTTGTGCTCTGGGCCAGCCTACTGTGACCCTCAGCAAGCCCCTGTGCCCAGCAGGCAGCCGCATACTGATGGATCCCACGTTCTCCATTCTGGATGGGTACTGCAAGACATCTTAGTTACCTTCCAAACTGCAACTTCAGCCAGCTTTCCTGGCTGCCAAGAAGCTTTTGAAAATTGGTATTCCTGAAATTGTACTCAAGATGGCAGAAGGATTAGGTAATACCACCCAGCTCTTCTGCAAGAGAACTGCTCAGCGTTCAGTTTTGGCTGCTGTCTGCCTTTTGTGATGAGCCCTCTGGCCCCACGCAGAAGCAGCACAGTAAATGGCACCCTACCTCTCATCCCTCAGAACATGGAGACAAATGGATCCATTTGGCTTTGCTTCCTGGTTTTCTCACTGCAGAGATAAATGAGGTGACCTGTGATGCATACTTTGTATATGCATTAAAATAAATACTTTTTGCACCTCTGTGCTATTTTCCAGAGTGCCAGCACTAGTTTGTGGAATACGAGTGTCTTTCAAGTCTGGTGCTGTTAAACAATTTCAATCCTGAAATGATGATCACCTAAGATTTATCTGTCAGCACTGTTGGTGTCCTTAATGCTGTGTAACCACACCCTTGGTGTAAGGAGTCCGTTGTGCCAGGCTGTGCAGAGAAGAAATACAGGTAGATTTGGAGATCACTTACAAACATTTGGGGAGGATTTTTGCAGAAAAGTGTGGTGATGTGCACAGTGTCAAAAACAGAGTTTACAGAGCAGCACTGTCTGGTAGCTATAGATGAATACTAATGTCTTCGGCCTTAGGAGAAAAATGTGAAGTTAAGAACAGCCTTTGCTGCCCACATAATGAAAATTTTGTGTTTGGAGTGGAAATGGTATTTTTTTTTCCCCTTCTCACTTCTTTACTCTTCCTTTTAACTGCTCTTCTTTTTCTTTTAAGATTTGGTCATGAGCAAAACTGGCTTTCTGTTTTTAACCTGTTACGTGCTGTAACCTTCTGAAACAGCTGCTTGAACCTTCCTCTTGCACTTGAGCATGCTACTGCTTTGGGAAGTAGGTGATGTCCTGCTATCTAAAAATTCATGAATCTATGGGATTTCTGGCACGAGAAATCAGTGTCTCATTTTATTTTAAGAAGGAAACTATTATAGAGTTTATAACCCTTTTCAGTAGCTTGTGCATCATTTCCAATAGACTAGTTATGGTCCCCATGGGATAAAAACTCACTCCAGTCTGGGCAATTTAAGAACATATTTATTCTCTGAATTTATGTAGGCATCAAATTTAATTTGTACTTCTGTAGTTTTTTCTTAGAAATGAAGTAGGAATTCTGAATAGAAAATATATAATTTTCTTTGGCTTCTGCCTACTGTGTCACTCTTTAATCGCTTTTCTCTAGTGAAGTTTGTACAGTCAGTCTTGTCCCAACTAATGCATGGAGCCATGAAAACAGTGTAGTTAATTGCCACATGCTAACAATTTATTGGCCTGGGATTGGCCTTCAATTGGGAGAATGACATCTGGGGAGCTAGGATGAGAGGATTGTCATCCTTGTCTGTTGGAGTGCCTTGAGAAGGCAGTGTTCTGTCTGCTTTCAAACTTGGGAGAAATGACCCAGAGCATGCATATATGTACATACATAATGCAGTAGAAAAATATGCTAAACATGCCTTTTCTAGGAGCCTTCACTCCGTTGGGCATAGCAAACAAGATCATCGTGGAGATGTCATGCTGGGGATGAGTTTGTGATGGGAAGGACTTGAGTTTCCATTGCAGCTGAGAGAGAATGTCGTAGCCTAGATAAAGCAGCCCAAGAGTAAGACTGCCAAAATGATGTAGGGAAACAGAAGATTACATTTTCTATGCCATTCTCTGTCTTAGGCCTTTCGTTGCATTCATTGCATAAATTTCAGCCGATAATAAGTGGGTTGGAATTTGCCTTTCTTACTCTAGCTTTGAGGATCAATCTCTTCTTGGAATGGGTCTGCTGGTTTCAGGGGTGAACAGTGGAAGATTGAACACCAAAGGGTTGAATTAAATCATGCTGTGTATCAGAATAGAATGTACTCTTTAAATTGAACTAATTATACTGTCTCTTCTTTGCACAGGTGGTGGATGTGGACTTTAAAACAGTGTCTCAACATTTCATCCTCAACTGTCCCTTTTTAATCTGATTGCACTACAAAAGAAAAGCTGCTAATGGGATAAATGTTGAGACGTTACAAGAACTGACTTGAAGTACCAAAAGCCATTATTATTAATCAAGAAGAGCTTGAAGCTAAGTCTGTATCTGACCAGTCAGTATCACTTTCACCTAACAGGCATGGCAAGTAAACGAAAATCAACAACACCGTGCATGGTCTTAGCCAACGAGCAAGATCCGGATCTGGAAATGGTATCAGACTTGGAGGAAGGACCACCTGTAGTCACGCCAGCAGATAGTAATCCTACAGCAGAGAGCATAGCAAGTGAAGAGGATGTTCATGAGAGTGTGGATTCAGACAATCAGAAAAGTACAAATAAAGTAGAAGGTGGTTATGAGTGTAAATATTGTACTTTTCAGACTCCAGATCTCAATATGTTTACTTTCCATGTGGATTCAGAACATCCCAATGTAGTATTAAATTCATCCTACGTTTGTGTAGAATGCAATTTTCTTACCAAAAGATACGATGCTCTCTCAGAACATAATTTGAAGTACCACCCTGGAGAGGAGAATTTTAAGTTGACCATGGTGAAACGTAATAATCAGACAATCTTTGAACAAACAGTAAATGATCTCACTTTTGATGGGAGTTTCGTTAGAGAAGAAAACGCTGAACAGGCTGACCCTTCTGAGGCCCCCTCCGCGGGGATCTCCATTAGCAAAACTCCTATTATGAAAATGATGAAAAACAAAACAGAGACTAAACGCATCGCTGTTTTCCACAATGTGGTCGATGACATTCCTGGTGAAGAGAAGGGAAAGGAAAATGAGCCAAACTCCGAAGAAGCAGTAGAAAACCAACCAGCACTGGCAGTTTCTGAGTCCAAAGCGAGCCATTCGGTTGTTTGCAGTGCAGCCGATGTAGCTAGCACAGTTGTGACCCCAGTGATTCAGCCTGGGATGGCACAGGTTATAACAGCTGTTACAGCTCCACAGAACTCAAACCTGATCCCCAAAGTCCTGATACCTGTAAACAGCATTCCAACCTATAATACTGCTCTGGACAACAATCCTCTTTTGCTCAACACCTATAACAAATTCCCGTATCCAACCATGTCGGAGATCACCGTTCTTTCCACTCAAGCTAAGTACACAGAGGAACAGATTAAAATCTGGTTTTCTGCCCAACGTCTGAAACATGGTGTGAGCTGGACACCAGAGGAAGTGGAGGAAGCAAGGAGGAAACAATTTAATGGCACAGTGCATACTGTGCCACAGACAATTACTGTTATTCCGGCGCACATTTCCACTGCCAGCAATGGTTTACCTTCAATTTTACAGACATGCCAAATAGTTGGTCAGCCAGGACTTGTTCTCACTCAAGTCGCAGGTGCAAATACGTTACCAGTCACGGCCCCAATAGCTTTGACTGTAGCAGGAGTCCCAAACCAAACCCAGCTACAGAAGAGTCAGATTCACACTGCTCAGCCTATCGCAGAAACCAAACAAGTCGCTGCCGTTCCAGCCCCTCAGCCTATCAAAAATGAAACTGCACTAATGAATCCCGATACCTTTGGCATGCGAGCAAAAAAAACCAAGGAGCAACTGGCAGAATTAAAGGTCAGCTACCTTAAAAATCAGTTTCCTCAGGATTCAGAAATTAGTAGGCTTATGAAAATAACAGGCCTGACGAAGGGAGAGATCAAAAAGTGGTTCAGCGATACACGCTACAATCAGAGAAACTCAAAGAATAACCATGGGATTCATCTCAACAGTGACTCATGTGCCACCATCATTATCGATTCAAGTGACGAAATGAATGAGTCCCCAACAGGAGTTGCTCCACAGAACAAGCCGTCCTGGAGTGCATTTCCTGACTTCACCCCACAGAAGTTCAAAGAGAAGACTGCTGAGCAGTTGCAAGTCCTCCAAGCAAGTTTTCTTAATAATCCTGTCCTTACTGATGAAGAGATGAATAGGTTAAGAGCCCAAACCAAACTTACCAGGAGAGAGATTGATGCCTGGTTTGTGGAAAGAAGGAAATCTAATGTCTTAAAGGAAGAGGGAACTGAGATGAATGAGAGCAATGCCAGCAGCTCGAAAGAAGAAGCTGGAGAAACATCTGCAGGGGATGGAACAGCAGGGTCAAAATCAGGGGGCTCTGCTCCAAGCAAAATAGGCAAAAAATCACCAGAGCAGTTGCACATGCTTAAAAGCTCCTTTGTTCGTACTCAGTGGCCATCTCCACAAGAATACAACAAGCTGGCAGAAGAAACAGGGCTCCCAAGATCAGAAATTGTGAGTTGGTTTGGAGATACTCGCTATGCCTGGAAAAATGGGGGATTGAAGTGGTATTATTATTACCAGAGTGCCAATGCAAACAGTCTGAATGGCCAGGGCTTCTCAAGGAAGAGAGGGAGAGGAAGACCAAAGGGGCGAGGAAGAGGGAGGCCTCGAGGGAGGCCTCGGGGAAGCAAGAGGTTAAATTGCTGGGACCGAGGTGTGTCTGTCATAAAATTCAAAACTGGAACAGCAATCCTGAAGGACTACTATATGAAGCACAAATTCCTTAATGAGCAAGACCTTGATGAACTTGTAGCTAAATCTCACATGGGGTATGAGCAGGTCAGAGAGTGGTTTGCAGAAAGGCAGAGAAGATTAGAACTCGGAATAGAGCTGTTTGAGGAGAAGGAGGAGGAAGATGAAATGTTGGAAGATCAGGAAGATGAAGAGGAAACGGATGATAGCGATACTTGGGAACCCCCACGACATGTTAAGCGTAAACTTTCAAAATCAGATTGATGTGCAGTTTGGAATCTGGGAGCCAAAAACCCGTGAATTAGGCTTGATGTTATGGTGAAGAGCCAAACGATTTTTCACGGCCTTCAGCTTCAGCAAGCACCTGCTTAGCATCTTCGTTGCACCTGAAGGAACGTGGGCAAGATGCTGTCTGCGCAGGCAACAGATATTTGCTTCCTTGCTACCAGAGATGGACGTCCTCGGGCCTAGCTGAGCATGTGGGGTTATAAATCAGCGCCAGTTCAGCTCCTCCTCTTCCACGTGACCAGTGGGAAGGTTCATCGTTCACGTGACTGCTTCTCAATATTTAATTGCCTTATCTTGTTTAATTCCAAAAAACAAACCACAGACACATTTTTTTGTTGTTGTAGGAGAACATTACCTGCTCGCAAAGGAGGAAAATGCAAAAGCCTAAGATGTCTTTTTGCAAACATCACTTCACCTGAAAGGTTTCAAGGCCTGGGTTTATTTCTTAAGGAAAGAATTCAAAAGAGAAGGGGAAAAGTGTGACAAAGGAATCAATGAACATAGGGGTGAGGATTGCTTGGTTTAAGAAAATGAGGTGATTTTGGCACCTTTTGCGTATCTTCAGAGTGTTTTGGGTTTACAGAACTTGTGTTGAAATGTTTCTTGCTGATAATTACAAGCTAACTGAATGAGTTTACTGCTAGAAAATGCTTTTTGTTAAATTTAATCAGCGTATCTTACATCAGTTTAATTTAAATGCCTGGCAGACTTGATGCAGTTGATAGTAACGTTCATTTTTAGCTTGTGCATTCTTTACTTTTTTGGAAAATGGTTAGAAGCTATGTGTATTTCTAACGAACATGAGTAATTTCTTGAAATCTTACACTGTATTTTAAGGTAAACGTGAGGTGGGAACTGCCTAAAAGTCGTTCACCATTGCTTAGGGTTTTGTATGAATACACAGATATAGAGATGAAAAGTGTCTTCAGGTGCTAGCAAGAAAGATTTTCAAGTATGCGGTGGCAGTGACCTGCTTTTTAATTTTCAAGCAAAATGAAGCTATATGCCTTTTAGGTGCTTAAAAATGATAAAAAAACCAGTGTTCAACTGTTTGTTAATGGTAGCCCAATTGAATGTTTTGCGTGCAAGTTTAACTTAAAATTCATCCTACTGAATTGAGCTCACCGATAGAACAGCCCTGTTCTTAGGGCTGTTGGGTGAACACTTATTTGTAGAGATGGTTTCATCTACGTGAACTGAACTCCAAAAGTAGTCTAATCTGATAGGGAACATCTGCATCTTGAGTAAATGCTTATGTATATATATAGAATGGCTTTTTATACGTGTATAAAAAGCCATTCAATTTCAAGGTAATGAAATAGTGGCATAACCAACTTAAAAATAATGGGCCAAATTCATGAAAGCTAGGCTATGCAGATATCTGACATCATAGAAAACTGGTACTCCAAGAAGAGTAGTTTGTGTTCTGGCTACTGTCAGTCTGTATTTTTTAGGGCTGAGTTATATTTAGACGTCAAAAATGGATGATGAGTTGGTGCTGCTGTCACCAGCATTGTCTGCTTTACATGGGCACTAACAGGAACTATCCTAGTAGCTCCCTTTACACCTCCGCCAACATCTTCTCTGCAGGCATTTGCATCTATTGACCTACAAGAGAAATTAGTGTGGAGAAAATGTTCCCTAATACTTCTACATCTCCAAGAAATACTCTTTCTTCCTTACTGTGATAACTGACTGTCCAGAGTCCAAGGAAATGCTTTCAGTGATGATTTTCCAAAGCAGAGGAGTTCATGTTAGATCTGTTTTTCATGTCAGATTGTGAGTGAAACCTGGGTGAAAAAAAGAAAGGGGATAATGTCTGACCAAAAAAAAAAAAAGAAGTGTTGTTAACTTACCTGACTCACCTTCCTCCCTGCACACATGTAGCTACCTTTCTGCTCTCTGATTGAATGGGCTGCCTGAATTGCAAGACGATGTTCCGCTTGAAAGCCTTTTTCTGACCTTCTGAGATTGCTAGAAATACTGATGTGTGTGACACAGTTTTGGTTATCAAACTGTTTCCTGGCATCCAAGACTCAGGTCAGTGAAACCAAGGCACAAAGCAGCCAACAGTGTGATGCCTTTATCTCTTGATGCTTATCACTGTGAGGACAAGCCTAGAATCCCTCAGCTTAACTTTGGGGTGGGAGAGAAGCAGAGCTTTGTTGGCAGTGTTTCTCTGGAGTGCTGTGACTTTGGGTAAGAGAGATCCGGGTTTCCAGCATGAATTGCTACAGTGACAAGGAAGTAGAGAAAGAGATGCTGTTTTTAAATTTATGAAAAAATTAAGGCTTATCTTTAAACTGCTTGGGAATATGCTTTTAGCAACCAAAATCTGGAGTTGCCTTAAATCTTAAGGACAAGCCAGAATTAATTTTCTTTCCCCCCCAAAAAGACCCAAGAAACCTGTCTAAACATCCCCATTTTTGTTAGCAGAGACTTAGTGTAGGTTATCACTGCATCGAACCTTCTTTAGAAGATGGGAAAAATAAGGATCCAAGTTAATTATGTGATTAAACTGGGAAATTTTCCATTTTGGCAGTGTTCTGTTAAATAACACTCAATTATAATGGTAGGCCTTAGTACATCTGATCTCAAAAACACAGGAAGAGGAAATGCATTGTTTATCAGACTAAATATAGTTGGATTGGGTATCTTCTTTCCATAAAATGGTCAGAGGGGATGGCTGATGTATCTGGATTTTCAAACACTGTAAACATTACAGTTCTTTGTATTCCAGTGGTTTTAACAGTATTTGCAGCCCATTGAAACCCCATTTCAGAATGCAGATCTGAATTAAACAAGCTCTGGGTTGGATAATGAGAGATGCAGGGTACCCACATTTCCTCTAGGCTAGATGCACATTGTAAGTCTTTCAATTATGCCAAGGGTGAGAAGAATCTGGGTGAGTTCAGATCTGAAAACATCAGTTGTATGCACTTATTATTACTTATAATCTGTTTTGTTTTAAAAGAAGAATCCATTAATTACCAGTTTATTTCATGTTTACAGCATGTATGTATTTGCACTGTGTACTGTGGGAGAGAGGGAGACACCTTCCAGAGGCCTCCTGCATCAGAAATGACAAGAAAAGCACTGGAAAGAGCTGTCAGCTGCTGGTGGCTGACAGGATGGACTGCTTTGTCTGTAACTTGTGGTCGTGGCTGGTTGGAGCTCAAAACTGCTGGTGACTGTGGTTAGTCCAGATTCATCTCATCTCATGTTAGGCTGCTGTGCTCCTTACCATGGTGCCCAAGGCATACTGCATAGTCTGAGTGAAATAGAAATTGTCGAGGGGATACAGCACATCTTCATTCTCCCCCTGAATTGATGTGAGCATCAGTTCCTCTGGAGCTAAAGTTGAGCTTTCTCTTTCATCTGCTGTCTCTGCCAAGAGTACCTGATGTTATGATGCTAGTTAATGCTGTCTTTGAAATACAGTTAACTGGGGATGAAGGTAATCCTTTGCTAGAGTTGAGAGGGAGAAGGGCTAAAAGCAAGCAAGCAGTGTCACAGCTGGTGAGCCATCCACTGTCCTTGGCCACGGTGCTTCATAGCATGTTCTGCTCTTGCTTCTGAGTACAATGGAAAGCACAGTTCTGTCTAAGTAATGCTGGCTTCCCAGTGACACCCTTTTAATAACCCCAAGATTGGTGTGAGTTAGAAAGTCGGAGTTACTCTCCCTTGCTTTGAATGAACTAAGGGAATGCTTGTGTGGTGTGCAAAGAAGGGAAAATGCAGAATCTTGAAGAGACTGCCTGTTGCTTGCCCTGCAGAATTCACTTACCTAGAACTTGCTGAGCAAAACAAATGTCACTCTTGCTATTTTGACAGAACAAGTGTTGCAGTCTTTCGTGTTTAGCATGTGGAAATTTCTGCTTTGATTTGAAAGCAAAAGAAAGATATCTGGCACCTCGTGATTAGAATTTACTGGATTATCTCTAATACACCTTAGTAAATTAGGCCATTTGATTTTTCAGCTTTGTCCAATAATGATTTTAAAACTTTATTTTTTTTTTTCCACAGCATTATGTGCAGTATTGTTTCTGTCTGTAAATTTGAAGGAAACTCATGAGAATCCACACATGGCATGAAATGTTTTTTCTCATGCATGACTTCCTGACTTTGGGCAAAAGCCTGTTTTCCTCCTGCTCACCAAGGCAGGCAAATACACTCCCTTCTCCTCCTCAGAGCAGAAAAAGGACTTTTGAAGCCCATGCAAAGCGATTCACAGCGCAGTGCAGTCCCAAAGGCCAGAAAGCCCCAGCATGCAGACATTCTCCTCCTCCTTCTCTATTTTCCTCTGAAATGAGAGCACAGCAGTAACTCTGACAACTGGTCTCTGGCTGCTGAGTAATAAGCTGTAGTTTAAGGTCAGGAGTATTTTCCCTTTTGCACTTAATGGAGTACTGTGTATTCGAATTGGATCTCAGTGTTTGCTTTTGTAGATACGACGGTCCCAATTTGCATCCTCCACCACCTCCTCCTCTCTGTATATTCATATCTCCCAAGGAGAGAAGATAATTGTTAAAATTCTGTAATGTTAAATATCCCTGCCCTTACCTGAATACACACAAATGTAGAGCGCAATGAAATATAGTTGCTTTCTTTAATTTATTATTTATTGGAAGATAATTTTGCCTGCATTTAGTAGTAATGAAAATATAGTATTGATGAGAGAACAGTAAAACAGTTGAGAGGTGCTCACAGTGCCTGGGATGATCGTATAAATTCCGGATGGGAAGGGCAAGTGCAGGGCTCGGTTCCCTGCCCTGAGCAGTGCTGCATTATGCCTGTGTTCTCCACCAGGCTTTTGATATCCTAGGGCTGAGTAGATGTGGTATGTGGCATGACACAGACTTCTTAGGTCAAGTGACTTAAGGTTTGTGATGTATTAAAACTAGGTAGGAAATGAAAGCTGTAGCAGAAGGAGAACATTTCTATAACTGTACGTGCTCAGTAGCTTGAATTTGTGTATTATTATCTCACTTTTGAAAAGGGAGGTTTTGAAGCACAGGCAGTTTGTAGACAATATTTTTGAGCTTTTGGGTTTTTTTCCTTCTGCAGTGAAGAGCATCTGCATTTTTTTTCAGTGGATACTCATTTAAAAATGACTTAATGCAGCATTTAAAATGTGGAATGGTAACTGTGGATCCCACGGCACTTTTCATGAATTAAGGTGGGATTCACCTGATTGTATGTCGATGTCTGCACGTGAGCAAGGCACCGCAGTAGCTGATGGGTATAGCTAACGAGTGCATGTCAGCAGCTCATCCTGACCGCCTACAATCGATCAGACGAGCTGCACCCTAAACTCCACTGACTGTTACAAGTGGCTGGCAGACACTGGAGCCATCTGAAGTTAGGTGAGATGCAGCCTCACCTTGGAGCGTGCTGGCTGGCTGGCAGCACTGGGCGTTGTGCCCCGTTAGGCGCTCCTTGTGGTTAGCCGTGGTTCTGTCCTCCGCTGCCCACCTGGTGCATGTTGGGAGGTGTGAGGCCTTGCTTTGGTTTTGGTGGTTATTCTAGAGCAGGCGGCACTGCAGTGGTGGATAAAGTAACTGATCCTTGGTTAAAGAACTGTGGCGTAAACATGGCTTGGGGGTTTCTAAAGTTTTTGAGAACCTTACTATATGAACATCGGATTGTGCGTATCTTAAAATGTGGTAAGACAAGTAAGGCTTTTGTCCCCACTGATCAAAGCATTTCCTTACATTTAGTCAGTATTAGATATCTATAATGAAACTTATTGTAAAGAATCTGCCAGAATGACGGAAGATTCGAGTTGTCTTCATTTGTGATACAAAACAACCAACCACAAGAGCTCCACTACGATTCGGAAATGTTCCCCATGCTTCCAGTTCCAGCTTACAGAAGCATTTCCAATTCTGCTTAGTTGGTTATCTGCATGTATGCTTACAGTTTGTACAGAAATGCACTAAAAATGAGTTGCCCGACCCGGGAAGGCTTTATATTGTATAGAAAATGTGGCACTAGGTACTGCTCTTCATGTGCACAGGAGAGTTAACAGGTGTCGATCTCGTTTACAGAAATGATGGAGCTTTGCAATTTTCTATAATACATTGCAATATATTTAAATGTCCTGTTTGACATGTGAATTGAAATTAAGTTAATGCATCGTTATGTATTTGAATATGAGGAAGACGATTCACTAACGACCAGCAAGGTTTTTAGAAGGTGTCCAGTATGTAGCAGTCTGTGTGATCTGTCTGGTGTATGTGATGTTGTTAAAGGAAGCAACACTACTAGTATCGTTTAGAATTAAGAGTTTCTTACGAGTGATGCAATAGCTTACAGTGTCTTTCCTTTGTAGCTGCCCAATGTGGTGAAGGGGAAGCAATTGTTGAAAAAGTTCAAGATAACTGGTTAACTGTGAATGGGCCTAATCTTTCGTGAAACCAAGAAAATATTTGGACACACACAGGACTTGAATACTCAAAAGGATTGGAACTTAGTGTTGTGCCAAAGTTAAACTACTGCAGTTGGCAGAAGTTCTGCACTGTAAATAGAAGACTGATTAAAAGACAGCTTGTAAAAAAGAAAAAAAGATCAAATTTTAATACACTACGTTTTTATTCTGATACATGATGGAAACATTCTGTTTTAGACCTTTTTTGAAGAGGCTTCAGTGACCACTAGATTTTGTCCTCTTATATTTTGTTTGGCCTAATACTATATGTTCTAGTAAGATGGGCTTTACTGCCTGTGTTCTTTGATACGTGATTAAGCTTATAGCTTTGAGTGACCAAACATTTTACAGAGTAAAAGTTCTTAGAAACACTATAACGTAACTGATATTTCTGTGTCTTATTTATCAGGCTCTGCACAAACTTGGGAAGTTGTGCTGGACTTGTACAACTTACATGTGGGAACGCAGCACACTGCTTGGTATTACAAAGCTAAGCCTTTGAGGCAGTACGGATCTTGTCTTTGGATTTATTTTTGTTACTTTTTGAGGCAATGAGATGAACGGATGCTGCTGTAAAATATTTGTAATATTGCCATTATTGCTTTCTGTAGCAACTACTGCTTTTGTTTCAACAGATAAAGAAAATAAATCAGAGATAGAAAAATCCCAAAAGAAGCCGGTAGAAGAAAGGATCACGTGGGAACTTCTGAAAATAAACTTTGTACCAAAAAATTTGAAAACAGAAATAATGGAATAAATGTCTCCTTACTGACTGTGTGCTTTTTAAAAAGGATGTGCAGAAACCGGCAGCCGCGTTCGCATGAAAATGTCACCATCTTCTTGAGGTGTCTTTTTTCCCCATCCACAAAGCCGAGTATCAGCGACGCCTCAGGTGCGTTAGGTTTGGAGACGTGTCCTGGCTGAGGAGCCGGCACGAAGCAGCCTCACGTGAGTCAGTACAGCAGGGTGGTGCTGCCTCTTCTGCCCCATCAGCAGGCCAGGGCTGCGTGCAGCGTTTTGCTCTGCGCTCACATTGAAAGTACCTGGTGTTGGAGGAGCAGGGGCGAGCAGCAACCACTTCACTTCCCTGCTGGAGTCCTTGTCGGTTGGATGTCACGCTTGGTGACTTCAGGGCTGCTGTAAAATGTGTGTTTTCCTCCGAGGGGACCGGGTCTGAGCACGTTCTGTTGAGTGCTGCATCCCGGCAGGGCGAGTCACTGCAGCGCTCCCTTGGAGGCAGCAGCGCTGCCTTCCCTCAGCGGACGCACTGCCCCACTGTGTGGTGCCCTTCTCGAGGCCCGGCTGGAGAGGAGCTGGCACCCTGCCCTCAGCTCAATCCCTGCGTGAGAATAAGCTGAAGTCCACAGAACCGTTCCTGTGCTGTGGTGTGGGCCAGTCCTGACAAATGACAGCCCTGGCTGAAGCGGTGACCTGTGCGCAGGGCTGGAGGCGAGCGCTCGCCGTTGGGACAGCTTGGTGCTGGGCCAAACAGTTTACTCAGTTCAGTGAAAAAACCAGGAGGGAAAATAAAGAATGTTTGTTCTAGATTCCATCAGCTAAAGAGAGAGTTATGAAAAGCTTTGGGCTGTGTTTCTTTAAACAGTTACCTTTTTGTTTACCGTGTTGTCAATGACTCCAAAACACTGCAGCTCAGTCCCTATTTTGACAGGAGACCAGCTGGCCCTCTGGCTTGTTTCTCCTCTCCCAGCCTTCTCTTCCCAGCCCCTTCCATCTTCCAGTTGTTCTCATAACAATACTGTCAACTGCTATTTTTAATAATTTGAATACCACTTTGTGCAATGCTTTGCTTTTCTCTCTGCACCAGAAAGTCCCTTCTGGAGTGACGTTAAGTTGCTTCCTGCGGAGTTTGCTTTGCTTTGAAACGCTGCTGGTGGTGGTCTTCAGGCTGTTTGACTGTTTTCCAACATTTTTGGTTGTTAAACAACTTGTTGTACTTCAAATATGCATATTTCTACTGCAGTAATGTTGGACTGTTAGCATTGTGGCTGTTTCCTTTCAGTCTCAGATAATATCTATTTGGTAGAAGAAAAAAAAAAGACAGGAAAAAGGAGATACATTGGTTGGCTTATCTGGTTGATTTGGGTGAAGATCAAGGTTGGTGTTGGTAGTAATTCACTGAGTGATTTCTTATTTCCCTAAATGAAAACCAAACAGGAGAAAACATAATTGCAGCAAAGTCCATCTTAAGGGACTAACGTGAAAGAAGCCCCACAAAATAACCTCTAGTAGTGGCACGCTCTGAATCAAAAGAGACGGTGCAAATATTAATGCAGTTGTTAACTGCTCTCAAACCTTCAGTTCCTCCCCAGCATTGCCCAGTGCCTCCAGGTGAAATCCATCTGCGAGGATTTCTGTGCAGGCATTGCCCCCAGCACACACAGAGCACAGGGACTGGGGCTCACTGATGCCCTGTGAGGGAAATGCCTGAGCGTTTTTCTTAGCAACGCCACAAAGGCAGAAACTGCACCACAGGTATAAGTTGTGTGGTGTTCATTTCACTTCCAATGATTTAAGGAAGGATGTAATGGTGGGCAAAGTCCATTCTCAATTTCTGCATTTTGTTTGCATGTGTGCATTTAGCAGTGCTTTCCCTCTGCTTTGCCTCGTGCTTTCTGCAGGCATCGATACTTGGACAAGGCAAGCGTGAAGCCATATGAGCTAAATTTAATAGCAGTTTCCACTTGGTGCTTTCCAGCTCAGCATGGGAAACAAGGCACTGGAGAATCAAAAAAAGCCAGATGGGTTACTTCCATGTGGAGGCAGTTACCTCTCCATATGGACAAGGAGACGGGGACTGGAGAAGCCCACAAGTCACTCAAGGGCAATCCTGAAGCCCTGGATCTGTGTCTTTGATGTGCCTGTTTTTTTCTTTATCTTTTTTTGCCTCTAATTCTATTGATTTGTTTCTCAGTTCCTGCAGAACAATATTGTAGGGTGTCAGCTTAGTTTAATGGGTGCTGTACAACAGAGGTGTGCAGCAGCCAGATGCAGATGCTTCAGTGATGTCCTGGAGGAAATGCTACAGGAGTCCTCCCAGTCCGAAGGACCTCGTAGCTGTGAAGTTTTAACACAGCCTGATTTAATCCCGAGTAGCAATTAAGCAACAAGCACAACTGTTGCCATGTTGCCAGGGGAAGTTAATGAGTTTTCAGAGGCAAACCAATAAAACTGAAAAAAAAAAAGGTGCACAGAAGGAGGCATACACATCTCTCTACAAGTCTGGGGTTTGGTCCAGTTAGAGCAGCAGGTCAGCGATGCCTTTGTGGTGGTTTGTGTGTCAAGTTTGTATCCGCTGATTGTCAGGTGCAGCCTTAATGCTTGCCACAGGTGGCTGAGCAGCATGCTTGTGACTCCTGTCAGTTCAGGAAGCATGTGGAGCTGCAAGGGAGGATCACTGCTTGAAGACTGTCCCAGGCATCTGATCACCTTTCTTTCCAAAAAGCCTAATTCCTCTTTCCAGCAGCATTTCTGTCCAACCCAAGGGCATGCTCGTTCTGCTCAGCGTTCATCTTACAAGACATGAAATAGTTGCAGAGCCCATTAATGGCTGAACACATCAGTGCTTAGCGCACCCTTTTGGCAATAACAACTTCATTGGGTTTTGTGAGACCTGAGGGGGAAGGATTATGGCCTAGTTAATATGGCTTACCAGCAATTTGAAAGGCTGCGCTGTTGGAAGGTAGATAAGCAAATGAACTGTCTTTGGGGGATGCATCCTCTCTTATCTGTCTTAAGAGAAGGAAGATCTTCTGGCTTCTGTTACCAAGCAGTTCTTTTTTTTTTCTTATTTCTGTGATGCAGGGCCCTTCATCTCCCCATTCATTTTGGTCCTGTCTTCATAGAACTGTGAGCTGGCTGGCTGATTTACACAGAAGAGGAATTCCATGGCCCACTGGCCTGCACACTCCTGCTCACGCTACTCTGGTTTCAGAATCCTGTCCTCCTGTTGCAGACTGTGAGGGTAGGGTGTTGGAGCAGTTTGTAGGGTGAGGAACCATTTCAGCTCCCTTACTTGCCTTTCCTTAGTGCTCGCTTTACCTTCAAGGACAGACCTACACTTAGCAAATGAAGCTTTGTCACATTTGGCTGGTTTCTCAACCAGCTTGAGATAGGTGGAGGTTCATCCTGTTTCTACCAGCCCTTCTTTGAAGATATGCTGAGTTTGAGACAAGGATCATTTTTCTCTAATTTTGGTTGGTGGCATCTGGGAGCTTAGGCTCAGGGGTCAGACTTCCTCCACTCTCAGTGTGACTGCCTATTGCTTGAGAACAGACTGCTCTTGAGGTCTGCAATTGTGTCTCATACTACTGTAGTAACATTTGCTAGTGTTCATCAAAGCTCGCCAGAGCTTTAACTGCAGTTTTGCTTGTTGAATCACTTTTTCTTGTCTCTTAGTTTGTACCAGAGATAGCCTTGGTATGCCCTTAGCCGTGAAATGCTGTTTGTGTTACCCTCCTGTGCCAGTCATGGACAATATCCCCTTATGTTTGGCACCACGCAAAGAGGATGAAAGATGGTTTCTGCTGTAGAGATCTTGCAATCTCAATAAAAGGCAAGAGACAATAAGTGCGGGGAGAAAAGGACACATCAAGACAATGTCAGCAAATAAAGAGCTTCTCTTCATGAACGTGTTTAGAGAAGAGCCAATGTTATGACTGTCGAAAAAGAAAACTAATCTTTCCCCCAAGGTATGAATATTTCACAATGTCTGGAAGATCCCACTTGATGACTCAGGAACCGCCCATCCTTTGAGGAACGCTGCCTGTGGGCCTGAGTGCTCTCTTCACTGCAGGCAGCACGCTTTCTTTGAGGAGAGAATGAGTCTCTTGCTTCCTTCCAAGGGCAGCTCCTTTCCAGTCTGCTTTATTAAAACTATAAACGATGTCAGAGCTGCATTATTCCTTAGCCGACGTGTGTGGGTAGTGCCTACCAAAACAGGGCCCTCATTACCAGCCGGGATTTCTCCTTTCCACTGTGTGTGCTTGATGGTCTCTTGAAACCTCTGTGGTGTGTGTTCTCCTCCTGGAACAAGTGTCCAGGCTGTGGCAAAGACCCATAGAGCCTATCACAATACAAGAAATAATATCAGGAATTAAATAAGCACCAGTGGAGGGAATTCTTTTGAATTAATTCTGCCTCTGACAGGGCTAAAGAAAGGTTGTCAGGATTCAAACAAGCTCTGTCTGCCACGCTGTGTTTTCTTTTCCTGGCTGAAAGGCTCAGGTCCTATGGCAGCAGAATGAATTCCTGCCTGTCCTTTGAGATGCCTTTACTGTCCAGGCTTCCTCTGGGCTCACCCTGATGGCAACGTGGAACACATAGGCTTGCCTCCTTGGTTCCATTGGTCTGATTTTCATACGGGGAACTGGTGCTTTAGGCTAGCAGTGCAGCGTGACCTTAGCTGTCTGTAGGAATATTCATCTCTGGCTTCTTTGTATCCGTGAAGCTGCCTACACACAGCAGCTGCAGCAGTGTGGGCTCCCATAGGGCTCATGTATCTGCAAGCCCCTCAAAGCTGCTTCTTCCAGGGCTGTTGGTTTCTGCTGCATGAAGCAAAGGCTAACAGCACCATGGCAAATCATGCCTTGCAAGCTCAGGCAAACAGCTTTACTTAAGTAAAATGGGAATTTGTATTCTGGCAGCTATACTGATGACTTGGGGCTTGCAGGAGAAATTGAGCAAATCTCCAGTGCTGACAAGGCAGAGGAATTTCTAACAGTTGCACTTTTTTATATCTGTAACTAATACGCGAGGAGCCTCGTAAATGTCTGAGGGGAGGTGGGGGAAGGGGAGAGCCAGGGAAGGAAGAAAGAAGAAAAGCAGTGTTATGCTGTGACTTATGACTCAAACCATGCAGTCAGCTGCTAGGCCCCCTGCGTGGTGCTCAGGAATTGCTTCTCTCCTATCATTGATTCACCAGACAAAGGCATTCTCTGCATTGCAACACACAGCCTTTGCAGACCACGTTTGTATCCTCACAGGCAATGGTGGCTGAAACCCTGAGCCCTGCAGGACTCCTCAATCCGAGCTGGCAGCCAACGGGCTGCTCTTGGATTTGCCCCTGGGAGCGCCTTGCAGTTTATGTTCTACTTTGTGCTGGGGCCACATTTCACTTTGATTACTCATGATTCTTGTTCTGTATTTCTTCTTTTCCATTTGTTCCTAGCCGTCTTGCTGGATTTTAGTGCTGTACTCAGACTGGTGTGCTGCAGCATGACTGGCAGTCCTGGAGGACTGGGAAAGGAGCGCATGTGTCCGGTTAATGCGAGGAGAAGCGCAGATGCTGCAACTGTTCAGACACCAGAGCTGATGACTGCAGATCCATTTCTGTGTGCTCTGCCTGTCCTGTAGGAGCTCAGCATACCAGTCCGCGTGCAGAGGGAAGCTGGAAGGCTTTTGTGTGCACATATAAGAAGCCCCAGCTGTATTTGCCTACCCTGACATAACAAAACAATCAAAAGCATCATGTGGAGCAAACTCCTGTTTTTCTCAAGACTCACCTGTTAAGCAATTTCCTATGTTCAAGAGCTCTTCTTTGCCAAATGGTCAGTTTAAAAGCAGAAGAAACCTCAATTTGATCAAATCTACCTGCCAGAGTATAGTTTATATCCAGGGATTTATGCCAGCTGATCATAGACTCGTGGAATCATTAAGGTTGGAAAAGACCATTAAGATCATCTACTCCAACTGGTTGGCCCATCACCACTGTGCCCACTAAACCATGTCCCTAATGTCCTGATGCCACATCCAGGCATAGCTATGCTCGTATGGAAGATATTTTGAGCATTTATCCACCACCACCACCACCAAACCAAAACCAAACATCTCTATAGAAGGAACCCTTTCAAACAAGAACTATGGCCATAAAGGATGTTCTAGTAGGCACAGGTTCATCAGTCTACTTTTTGGATTAAGGAGATACAAGGATAACTTTTCATCTCAGCCTCTCTGAACCTGTATGGTAGTCAGATGGGAGGCAGCAGGTCTTCCTGGAGGAAAGGACTGCTGGGGCAGGGAGAGGAAATAGAACTGCAGTACGCCTAAAACACAAAGCACCTTGTGTCTGGAAGTGCCATGAGGCAGGACAGACAGCTGGAATGGCAAGGTGCTGTTAATCTGCAAGGTTGTCTGAGCCTTTAAGTGTTGCAGAAGCTCTAGGATGGGTCTTTGCAGTGTACCCTTTTCCCATAGCACAGCAATACAGTCTTGGGAGATTTGGAAAATCCTGTCTTCTGAAGGCTTGAGATTTCACAAGTTTCCCATTCTGCTTTGGGGAAGAAATGAAATCAAATGGAGAAGTTACTGAAATACACTCCCATGGACACTGGCATGCACAGTGGACCAAGATGCTAAAAGAATAATTCCTCAAATGTGCAAATAATTTAAGCATGGGAAACTTCGGTTTAAGTGTTTGTTACAGTATCTTATGAAGTTTCTATTAAGTTGTCTGGTGACCAAAATCTTCACCAGGACTATGGAGAATGCAATGTTCCTGTTCCAAAGGGGAGTACAAGCTTCATTCTCTTAGCACCTTCCTCCCAAAAAACACTTCACAGATGCCAGCAACCAGGTGCCATCAGCTGTCCCAAAACATGCGATCCATTTGCTCTCATTTTGGTCAGAAAAAATGAAAAGGAAGTTGGTTGGAGAATGACTGGAGAGTCGCAGGCAAAGGGTTGTGATAAATGCTCTATGTCCAGGTGGAGGCCAGTGACAAGAGGTGCTTCCCAGGGCTGTGTCCTGGTACCAGTACTCTTCAACATCTTTATCAAAGATAGATGATGGGATCAAGTGCACCCTCAGCAAACTTGCAGACGACACCAAGCTGAGTGCAGTTGATACAACAGAAGGAAGGGTTGCCATCCAGAGTGACCTGGACAGGCTTGAAAAGTAGGCCTGTGTGAACATAATGAGGTTCAACAAGGCCAAGAGCAAGGTTGCACTTGGCTCAGGGCAATTCCAGATATGTACACAGACTGGGGGTTGAACTCGCTGAGAGCAGCCCTGCTGAGAAAGATTTGGGGATCTGGTGGATGGGAAGCTGGACATGAGCCTGAAGTGGACAGTTGAGAGCATCCTGGGCTGCAACAACAGAGGGCTGGAAGCAGAGAGAAGGAAGTGATTGTCCTATTCAGCCTCATGAGTACTGGAGTACTGCATCCAGGCTGCGGCCCCCACCACAAGAGAGATGCACAAGAGAGATGCAGAGTTGTTGAAATAGAGGAGGGCTGTGAAAATCAGAGGGCTGGCGCAGTTCTACAGAGTCAGGCTGAGGGAGCTGGGCTTGTAAAGAAGACTCCAGAGAGACCTTTTTGTGGCTTTCCAATATTTAAAGGGAGCTTATGATGAGGAGGGAAGTCGGCCTTGTATACGGGTACACAGTGACAGAACAAGGGGGAATGGTTTTAAACTAAAAGAGCAGAGATTGAGATTAGGGGGAAGACTTCTACTGAGAGGGCAGTGAGGCGCTGGCATAGCTGCACAGGGAGCTGTGTTGCCCCGTCCCTGGAGGCTCTCAGGGCCAGGTTGGATGGCCCCAGGCACCTGATCTGGTGGGGGGCAGCCCTGCCCATGGTGGGGGTTGGGAGTGGGGGATCTTCGCAGTCCAACCCACGCCATTTTATGATTCTGTGATGGTAAGACCCCCAGTGCCACACAGCATTTCTGAGTGAGCATTTCCGTGTTTCCGCACAGCATTTCTGAGTGATGACACTCTCGCAAGGTCTATTCCAGCACGACCACCTCTGATCGTCCTCACGTTGACTGGGGCTCCCCCTGCCTCCTGCGGGACGGCGATACCCCGTTACACACGGGACAAACCCCAACGCTGAGGAGCCGGCACATAAGAGGCGCAGCCCGAGCTCTGTGGCGATATCCCCGCACCGCGGCCTCTACGGGGCGGCGCTACCAAGGCCAAAGCGGCGCGTCTCCCGCCCACCCCGCCACGCCTCAGCGCGTCGCATCGCCTTCCCAAGATGGCCGCCGCCGCCCCTCTACCCCACCGCACCCCCAACTCGTTGACCCCGCGGCCGCGCCGCCCGCCACTCTCGAGCCGCTCCCTCACGGCGCCTCCCGGCCCGGCAGGGGGCGCGCTGCCGGCTCGCGGCCGGCGGAGAGCCGCTCTAGGAGGGGATGGAGCTGCCGCTGGGCTGGGAGTTCGAGGAGGCTGTGTTCTCCCAGAGCAGGGAGCGGGGCGCGGGCGGCGGGGCCGGGCTGCCCTACAGCGCCAAGCGCTGCGAGCCCCGGGTGAGGAGCCGGGGCGGGGTGGGGCGGGAGGCCGGGGCCGCGGGGCCGGGGCCGAGAGAGCTCGTGGGAGCGACTCGGCATGCGGCAGCCGTGGGGTTGCAGATGCTCTGTACGGGTTTGTTTGTGCTGCAGTGGTTCTGCGGTGAGACGAGCGGCGAGGAGGACGCCGAAGTACTGACGGCCCAGAAGTTCCGGGCTGACCTGGCCTACAGGGAACGGGAGTTTGAGGTATTCTCGTGGCTCCTGTGCGCCGGGGCTTTGGTCAGCGGCCGTGGCTGGAGTGTAACTTCAGGGCCTGTAGTCCTCGTGTGTTTAGTGAATATATCTGTGTCTGAACAACCATAGAATATCCCGAGCTGGGACCCAGCGAGCATCGAGTCAGCTCCTGGCTCCATCCCTGCAGTCCCCAAACTCTGTGTCTGAGCGCTCCCTGGACCCCAGCAGCTCAGGGCCGTGCCCACCCGTTCCGTGCCCACCGCCCCCTGGTGCAGACCCCATCCCTGACCCCCACCCGCCCCTCCCCTGCACAGCTCTATGCCGTTCCCTCGGGCCCTGTCGCTGTCACACAGAGCAGAGCTCAGTGCTGCCCTCCGCTCCCTGTGAGGAGCTGCAGCCGCCATCAGGCCTCCCATCAGCTCTTCTGCTCTGCGCTGAGCACACACAGGGACCTCAGCCCCTACCTCACGTATCTTGTCCTCCAGACCCTTCACCATCTTCATAGTGCTCCTCTGGATGCTCCATGCCCTGGAGATGCTAGGTGCTGTGGTATAGAAGTCCAACTTGATGGCACTTTGCATCAAAACCACCCCATTCTCCTGAATGAAATCATGATCTGAGCAGGAACCACCGAGCTAGTTAAGATGTGTCCAGACTGTAACAGTTAACTTCATTTTGGCAAGCTTTCCCAGCTGGATGTCATCTCCTTCTCCCATTGTCATTGTGAAGCTGATACAAACTGCGCAGCTCAGCAGAAATGGTGTTTTTCACTTGGAACCAATTCATACCAAAGATATACATCAGAGTGGTTCAGTAGTGGTCACAGTTGCTGTTGGCAATCATTAAAATGCTGTTCGGCCATAGTTCAGTGTGCATATTTATCCACTCGTGGAGATAGTGCCGTGTTCCACCAAGGCTGTCAACATCACATTCGCCTTTCTCAGAGCTCCCCCTGGCTGTCAGGTTACAGCTGGCTGCAGTTGTCAGTCTCCTGAGAGTTGGCTTGTGCGTCATTAGCTGTCCTCCCTCTCTCTTGTCTCTGGGTGGCTGGTTATGCTTTTGAGGTGCTTCCATGTTCCCCATTTGGGTTTCTGCCTGCTGCACTCCTAGACCCTCTTCTCATGCTGCTTCCTTAGCTTCATTGCTAATCACTGATGATATCATGCCTCTACCATCCTGGTTCTAGGACCCTGTCTTTTGTTCTCCCAGATTTGTTTTCTGGTGACAATCAGCTTCTTCTGTCCATGTTTCCGCTCTCATAGCTTCTTGTTCCAGGTTATGGTTTGCATTGCATGCTCCCTGATATCAAAGCCACCAGGACAGCATCTGACTGCACTCTTCTTGCCCTATCCGTTGGATTACTGGATCTGGTTTCGATTCAGATTTTTAACATTATTCCCGTGTTGTTGTCACCTTGTCTGTTCCTGACAGACATTTTCCAGTCTCAAATGAACGATGCTCTGAAGGAATTCACAGAAGTGTGCAGAGAGAGAAGTACCTGAGGCTGCATCAGGCACCCTGCTCTGGCTGCTGACCTGCCTGAAGGGAGGTTTGCTCCCTGCCATGCGCTCTGATTCCCTTCTCTGAGAAACTGACCCAGAGAACAGAGCATCCATTGGCTTCTGTCATGCTGATTCATGTTGGCAGTGTCTGGCGTCAAGTGTTCTTGGGTCTCTGTGGCAGAGCCAGAACCAGGGGGGAGAGTGACAGATTTGAGAATGCTGCCTTAGATCGGTGCCTGGAGATAAGGAAACGGGAATCTCTTCACTCACTGTGAAAAGTTTTGATGCCAGCCTAAGCTACTGGATGGGAAATGCCAAGGAGAGCAGTGATCTAAGCCATGCTCATTTTTAGGACAGAGCTGACTGCAGAATCTGCTTGGGATTTATAATGCCGAGTCTGCCAGCGTCATACTCCTTCATTGCATAGCAGAGCAAGCAGAGTGTCCTGCAGCCCTTCTCTGGTCTGTCTGGACAGAGGGGAACTCTCACTTTGCTTGAGAAGGATGTGAGCTTGGCAGGGGAAGAGACATACTTCTGCCATTATGCCAGGAGCTACTTAGGGTATATTGCCTAGAGGCTCTTTTTGTTAGAACTGATCAAGTTTGCAAGGAATACCTGAATTTTCATTTTGAGAAAGCTCTGCTCTTTGGTCTTTTGGTTTGAGCTCTCACACAGTGGGGAAGGAACGAATATTCCAGTCTTAGCATCACTGAATACTTAATGTAATGTATTTAAATGTTAATTGGAGTCTTGGTGAGTGCTCTGAGCATTAAGATACAGCATATTGCTCATTCTTGTCTTTTTCCTGGGGCCAATTAATATTTAATAATTTCATGCAAATTCCGATGACCTTGTGAGGAATTTATGTCAGGAATGATGGAGACTCACTTTCCTTGTGGTCTGCTCCGACTGGCTGCTTATTCTGAAGGGCTGAGGGACAGACTTCCTGGTTCTCACCTCCTGTTTCTCTCACAAGGGAGTGCACAGGTTTGAAGTGAGGCCTCTCAAAATCAGGATGAGTGCTCTGATCCCTAAGTTAGTTGGGATAAAGGTGCCTTATTTCACGTTTGGCCCAGGCCTGGGGGTGAGCTCATACAGTCCCTTCTGCATCAGGCATGGTGTGGGGGAGAGGTGGAGAGATGCCCTGTGAATCCTTACAGGGCTGAGGCATTAATTAGGACTGGGGCTGCCCATTGCTGTCCAGGCTGGGGCAGCTTGGAGCTCAGCTCTTGGCCTGGCCATGTGGTACTGGGGCCTTTGTGTGCTGCTGCCAATAGGTGCTAGCTGAGTTGGGATAAAGAAAAATCGGTTTCGGGATTGCTTTTAAATGAAAATGTTTCACTGCTTTGCTTGTCTTTTCTTTTTATCGATGCTACTAGAAAGCTCTGTGTGAATACTCAAACTGCTTGCAGCACTTGCCTCCCGGTAACATTGCCATGAGGCGGGACGTCCAGGAGGGCCAGGCTCGCTGTTTGTCTCAACTAGGAAGGCACAAGGAAGCTCTGGATATTGCAGAAAGAATGGTAAATCACATCCTTTGAACACAAAAAATATTACCAGTAGTTCTTTTATACAGGCCATTTTCTGCAAAAATAATCTGTATGTGTTTAATCCTTCAGGATGTTCAGTGCTCAGAGTATTTGGTAAACAGAGGGTAACTGTCACTGCAGATATAATCACTCTTTAGAAATCAGAACACCCTGTACCACAATGAGTTCCCTGTGCAGGGAGCTGGTAGTCCTGGAAGGGACTAAATATCATGCTCTGCCAGGCAGAATTAATGTAACGTAATAGGAATTATAAGAAAGGGGATAAATGAATGCTTAAGTCTTTCCACTATAAAAGCATCGGTTCAACACTTCCTTTTATTTCCATGCACTTTTCTGCCAAACTGCCACCAAGAAGAGTATCTAACCACAAATGGAGTTTTTCCCATAAAAGAAGATGTCTGGAGGCTCTGAAATCTGCTAATTTTATTGCTGCTGATCATTGTATATAAAAGGTGTTCATATTACTAAGAGGGGCGACTGCATAACATAAGCAGTAATGCATGTAAGCAAACAGCAGTGTTCACAGGCTTCTTTCAAACTGTGATGAGGCCACTGAAGGGATCGCTGCCTGCTTGATCTTGCATGATCTCTATCATGTTGTATTGTTTGAAATTAAGAGAGCGGTAGTGAAAGCTACCTTTAGATGTCTGTCTGACATCTGAGATGTCTGTCTGTCATCACCCGGGGAGACGTTTTCTTAAGCTCTGAAGGATGGTTCTGTTCTGCTCCTGTTATAATCCTTTTTTCTTTTGTTTTCAGAGAAACGGTGCCACAAACACGGATCACTTAACGACTGTTCTCAACCTGCAGTTTGCCATTTATCGGGATCTGGAAAACGTAGAAAAAAAGATCGTGTGTCTGCAGCAGCTGATCTGCTTACATCCCTTCAACCCTTGGTACTGGATGTCACTTGCTGAAGCTTATATGGACCTTTTGCAGGGCTTGTCTCCATTATGCATTCCAGAAACAAACCTACATTGGTCCAGAGAGGTTAGTGATGGTAGTTTCGGAATATCAGCTGGAGGAGAGATTAATCTCCAGCCTCACAGATCGGACTGCCAGAGCGAAGGCCCTCCGTCCTGCCCAGCTGCAGAAACAAAGAGCGAGAGCTCAGCGACCTGCAGCAGCAGCCAGGCTGTAACAGAAATGCTCTGCACTTCAGACAACACTGGAAGGAAGGCTGAAGGGAAACAGGCAGCCTGCGAGTCCTGGGAGCCGGACTTGGCAAAGCATGTTGGCGTAAAGGCGTGTGCCTCATTTGTTAGAGCAAGGTAACAAAGTACACTCTTGGAATGATGTGAGATTCTCCCAGTCCAGAGCAATTTTAAGCATGTTATTCCCCAGCCTTAATGTACTCAGTTTACATCTCTGATTTAAAGATTTGTTCCAGCATTGGTAACACCAACCTAGAAAGAAAAGAATGGACTCGTAATTGAGATGTAAAAAGTGAAACTCACCAGCATGGTAGCTATGAACAACTGACATTTGGGTGGAAAGACAAAGCCGGTGTCACGTGTTGTTGAGAAGTAAAGTATCTTTTAAATAATCCCATTATACAATTCCTTTCAAATAATTATATACAAAAGGATTTTTTCTCCTCTAAATGCTCCTGCTAGAGCGTGGCTGTTCCTGCTTTGGTATTAAAGATGCAGCAGCTGAAGTCCCCCATAGGGAAGTGAGCCCGTCTTCCTTCTGCAAGTGCCACCTGGCTTGTTTGCCTGCAGCCTCTTGCTTGAGTGAAAATGTATTATTTTAATAATACACCAATTTGCATAACGGATGAGGTTGAAAAATGAACTCCGTGGCAGCTGATTGACAGGGCTGCATTAACATGCTCTTCCTCTTTATTCCCTCTCTTCCTAAAATTCTTGCACACAACAAAAATCTCCTAAATATAATAGTTCAAAGAGATAATTAGGAAATGTTTCTTGTTAAAAGAGTCTTGTTTTTTTTCCCTCTTGCCTCTCAATAACATATCAGTACTGAATGTGATTAGTGCAGTTTTATGGACTTCTGAACATGTTTACAGAGAACACCTTATAACTGCTCTCTGAGGGCAACATTTGGGAAACATAAAGACAGTTTTTATCTGTACTTTGAAAGCAAGTGACTTTATTTGCTGCCTGGGAGAAGTTAACAGATTGAGTACTGGTATCTAATAAGCTAATTCGTATTAAAATAATCTGTGCTTCTCATCTCAGTGATGAACCAGACGTACTGAAACAGTGGAGGCAGTTCTGGGATTTCCTTGCTTGACTGCACAGTGGTGTTGTGCTTTGTTTCCAGCCTGGATGTGGCTCTGGGCAGCCTGGTCTGGTGGTTGGCAACCCTGCACACAGCAGGGGTGTTGAAACCAGATGATTACTGTGGTCCTTTTCAACCCAGGCCATTCTGTGATTCTGTATTGGCATATGCACTTCTCTAGGTGAACTTCCCATCGCAGGGTTACGTTTTAGCTTATCTGGTGCTTTCAGCTCTGCTGGGTTTATGTGAGACGTGGGTGCTGCATGGGTAAATTCACTGCTATATTCAGTGAATGAGGATCGACTCCTCAACTTGTGGGCCTCTGCCTTCAACTTAAGAGCGGTGGAAGGTTTTAGAAAATACTCCCACACTAACCTGTGTGAGGATGTTTGGTGTTTGTTGAAACAAAACCAAGTTTGTCTCTTCTCAGGTTGTGAAGATGGCCGCTGCTGCATGCAGCAATGCACTGCTGTCTCCTTAGGCCTTAATAAGGATGAGGGATACTCGGTACAGCACTGCTAATGCTCAGTGCCCCAACTGCACGGGGGGAAAAATGGTTGTGTAGAGGCACCAGAGATACTTGGCATTTCCTTATTCTGAAGTTCTCCTCTGTATTTCTTCAGTCATTGTGTGCACACAGAATGACCTTAATAGATTGATATGGATGTATTCAGTTTCCTCAGCTGGCAAAGGTCAAGAAGAGCTGTTGTAAAGTATTATCTCGTAGTTGGATTTAGTTTAGTTTAGTGCCAGTTGTACCCTTTCTAACTGCTTATTTTCATTCCAGGCTTTTACTTCAGCTTACTCAACTGCAACAGTCATCCTTTGCTCTCGAAAATAACATAAAATGTCAGAAAGAAATTGATGACAAAGTGGCACAGTTTGGTTTAAATGAAAACTCCCTGCTGCAGGTGACCAAGGTAAGAGAGTGTTGTCTGCGTGTGTGTTCGCCAGGTCCTCGTGGGGGGACGTGGGCCAGCTCATGTTTGCAGGTGCCTGACTCTCCCCTGGGCTAATTAACCGTGCCAGGAAGCAAGGTACATTAGCCAGGGCGATGTCCTGGTACTGCATTATCTGGGACTGACTGTGATAGCTGTGTAGCTGGCTTATGTCATGTGGGTGTATCTCTGTTCTGCTGAAATTCTCCTTACAGGAATGCTCACGGTTGTTAGGTTTCTCGCTAGACTTGTATTTGCAGGTGCATCATTGCTGTGCATTTCCTGGGAAGCAAGTTTTATCTCTGCCACTTTAGATGCCACAGAGTGAATCACGTGTATGAAATGCAAATAGAGATGTCACTGAGGGCTACTGGATTATTCAAGTCTTCATTCTTTCAGCAATTTTTCAGAAAAAGTTCCTCTTACATTGTTTCTTTGTTCCATTTGATGTACTGGGTTCTAACTTAAAAGAACCACAGAGGAGGAGAATGATGTTGTATGGCTTTATTCATAGAGCTTAAACATTTCTAGCGTCTATGGAGTTCTATTTAAAAGAACAAAAGGAAGCCAAAAAATGTTTAACTTCACTGTCAGCATTGTCAGGCTTCAGTTAATAAAAGCCAAGTCCTTGCCGAGTTGGCAAGCGATGCTGTGGGCTTTCATCCATGAGAGGGCAGCAGTATGCAGACTATCCCAAGTTTCCACAGGGCTGCCGACGAGCAGCTGCTTTCCTCTCTTCCCTTGGTCTGAAGCCCCCGGTGAGAGGGTGAGAGATCGCTGCTGGTGCTCCTGGGGCAGGCGCTGATCGCAGAGCTGGTGATGGGGCTTGTGCTGCTGTTCAGAGGGCAAAACTCCCCACGTACAGTTGTACCAGAAGTTGGGAGGGGCTGTGCAGCTGCGAAGTTTGGGCTCTCAGTCCTCCATATTTATGACAGTGCAGCAGGCAGACAGCTTGGTTGTGATTTGGAAGCGCTTCCTAGATGGCGGATGGTTCTTGTGTTCTGTTATTATTGTCACATTACTTGTTTCCTGTCTTTGTTCTTACTGCGGTTGCAGGTGATGGGAGCAGATCTTATCCCAGAAAAACTAAAGGAGGAATTTCAGGGCGAGGTAAAATGCATAGGCTCTTCAGCACTGTCATCATTGGTAACCACATCGGCCTCGGAGTTTGAAATCAAATGGTTCGATATTCTGCAAGATGATTTATGCCACTTGGACAGGCAGTTCTCTTCAGAGACACACACCCCACCTCTGGCAACGTAGGGCTGTTGTATTTATTGTCATGGCTTCAGAAGATTATGGAATGATGCATGCAAAACGTTCGTGTTGTATTTTTTACATTTTCTTATAGTATGTATTTCAAGAAAGTAAATCTCTGCATTTGAAGTCGTGGTGTCTGATAGTTTTTTTTGTTCACAGATTTGTTTGTATTCAAAATAATAAGAGATCCAGTATAAAATGGAGTTTTCCAGGGTAGCTGTCCATCATAAACCTCACAGTGTTCTTGAAGCACCAGTGATTTTTAGGGGCCTGTGATGCAGCTCTTCCTTCCTGATGTCCAGTTAGAAAATGTCTTGGTTTTGAATTCTATGTTGTTGCACTTGGAGCCACAGAATTAGCCATTTTCTTAATTAAAAGTGGTAATATTTCTAGATCAACTGACATCATAGTGATTTTCTTTTCAGAGCTGGATGGCTGGATCTTAAATACATTTATGCTGTGAAGTTGTCAATAGGAATAACTTCATGTTTTTGGGAAAATATCTAAATAGTGACTGTTTAACTTAGGAGTGGAAGCAGATTTCCTCTAGGCTGAATGTTTTTGCAGGCACACAGCTCACTACAGCCCGGTCCTCAGTGTGCTTACACACGGAAAGCCAAAGCTGCCAGGGTTGTTTATATGTAGTGAAGAGTGTTCAGTCAGAGCATATCCTTTGTAAAACCCTGTGAGGAAGGAAAAGCCTCTGCTGTGAAAATCAGCAGCGTTGTTCCTGCATCGTGCAGATCCTTACCTGTGCTTTCAGCTCACGATGCCACCACTTTGCTTTATGTTCTGAAGTGCTGATGTTACGTGCTTTGGGCGTGCAGAAGGCAGCAAATATCTTCTTTCTTTTGTTTGAAACAATTTACATTTGAGGTAGAAGTGTGCTCTTGCCCCATTTGATCCCATTAAACTGTGATTCTTACTGGCTTTTTGTAAACCTATAGTTTATAGTGTAAAAGGAGGAATCTCTCAGATGTAATTGACTTTTCTTCATGTGTCTTTTCCTCATGTTCTCTTTGGGTTTCATTCTGCAGTATTAAGGAGTGCTGAAATTTTCAGTAACTCACAGTGGAAACGTACTTCACTGTACATGTACAAACTTGTTAGATGCAGCTGCAACTTTGAGATGGGTTTTAAAGCTTTAAGGTGCATATTAAGACATCTGTGCTAACACTTGGTATAGTGTATCCTCCTGCTAAACCGGCTGTAAAACGTCTCCAACAAAATGGAATATTGCCTTCGGCCATGTCGAATTATCTTTGATAGTTTGGTGACTTAATGCAATTAAACCACATCCTGGCCAGCTCGTTACGAAAGGTGATGCCTTGGCAAGTACACATGGCTAAGCATTAATTCATAACGTATTACAGAATATTCATTTTAGTCATGCGTGTGTTTGCTAGGTGGAAATTGTTGTGTGTGTGCATGAGTTGAGCAGGCTGGGATGGCAGTGAAGCCCACCTGGGATGCACACACTGCTTTCATCAAGCAGCCTGCCCTTGTGTTTTCAGTAGTGACTGTCCTTAATGGATTATAAATTAATTACGATGTTGCCATCAACAATAGAATGCATTAAAACAAAGGCACAGCAAACATAATGCCAAACATATCAGCAAAAGTAGTTACTGGAACTGGGACTTCTCCCAGTTTCTTCTTAAACTTATGGTCATGAGCAGCCCCAGGGGACATAATCTGCTTTCCCACAGCTCCTAATCAAGTTCCATAGTTACAATTTTGGAACAAGCTTTTGTGGACCCGGGTTTGTAGAGATATTTCATGGGAACTCACCAGATGATTTGGCTCCACTGTTTAGAAGGTGGAAATGGCAGCGTGTGAAATGCTTGCCAAATGCTGTCATTTCATGACTGAGCTGTCTGAAACACACAGTGACGTGGCCAGCCCCATTTGGGGACTTTGGTGTGTGTGGCTGGTGAACATGTGGCTGTCTCACACTGGCAGCACAGCAGTGAACTCCCCAGCACCTGGCAGGGCGGATGCAAGCAGCACTCCTTAAGAACAGGCACAGTTTTCTCAAATACAGCAAGAAAGCAAAAATGTTGTTTTTAACTACTGCAAAGAAAACAACATGAATGTTGCTCCGAATGCGTTGCATAGTTACTGCTCAAGTCAGCAGTGTTTATTGTGCTGGGCTCTGGAACATTCCTTGGTCTCATTGTGCTGGCTATCTCTCACCTCTGCTACTTGCACTCCTTTTCTGGCCCACTCCTCACTTTCAGCATGCCATCTCCAACCCCAGCTTTCTGCTTCTTATCTCAGAGGGGCTTTACACTTCCATCTTGTGTCTGAATGCCTCAGCATCACTTCAGTGCTCATGTAACTCTACATCTGCCTGCAACAGCTTTCTTTGTGTTTTGGCTCTTACAGTATTGATCTTATTGGTATTAATACTTGCACTAGTACTCCACACTGAGTAGTTACATAGCAGATTTAGCATTGCCAACTCCAAGAATCTGTTAACTGTTGCCAGGGCTGGGCTTTGTCATTCTGATGCTCTCTCATGATCCAGGCCCTGGGGCAGGACCCTCTAACCCCAGTTCTGATGCTCCTGGAAGGATCAGTGTGTGCAAGCACAGGCTCCTGAGATGTTGTGCTGTTGAGCATTTGAATCCTGCTGCCTGCTTCTGAGGTGAAGGAAGGCATTACTGCTGGAACTAGCGAGGCTCACGCTGCTCTCAGCACGCGGTACAGTGTTTGTACCAGCCCTTCCCTTGCAGCAGGCTGATGAGGGATGTCAGCATCCAGCTCCAACCTTCCCAACAGGTACTTTCTGCAGCTGCCTGTAAGCACACGTTCCCTTCATCGCCGAGCGATGGAGCCTGTGGGAGCCTGCGAGCATTTTTGGCATAACTCCTCGCTGAAATGGTAAACTCTTGATTGTTTTCCATCAAAACTGAAATTCCGTTCACTTAACATTCGGGTTCAGCTGTCGTCTGAATTAACGCAAGCTGTATCCCTGGTCCAGAGCTGAAATTGGCTCTTAACTCACAACACTCCATCAGTGCTATTAGCATGTCCCTCACCTACTTCTCATTAGCCGCCCTCTCTGAGACTTCTGCAGGCAATTCGTGTGGGCACAGTGATGAGAGGGGCTCCAGTTTGGATTTCACGGGTCGTGACTGGAGGGAATGAAGGCTTCAGAGTGAGAGAGCAGTGAGCCCACAGCCTCCTCCATGCCACCCACAGCTGGGATGCAACAGGATCGAGGGACTGAACCAAACTCAGAAGAAAAATCACAGTTAGGCAGTGGGGGCACACGCTTCATCCTACTCCTGACAGTTTCAGAAGGAACAAAAGGCAATTCCTTATCAGCTGTGCTCTGGCTGTATGGAAATTATTTTGGAAACAAAGATAGTAAGGTGCACAAGAGAAGATGAAGCAACAAAATGATTCTCAAAGGCATTTTAATGAAAGTCTTCTCTTTTATTTACCATGTTGCCTTGTCATATTTAGACAACTCAATAGAATTCTCATAGGAATGAAAACTTCCCTTCTTCCCAAGGAATCAAAAAATGTTGTTATGTACAGACATTTACAATGATATGCAAGGGTTTAGTGTTATTTTGGTCTCCAGAATCTGACTCCATAAGTAAAAATGTTCACATGCCCGTGTAGCATGCATTGTCTTTTACCTTTTACAATGTTCTGTAAATGCTGCTGGTGTATTTTTAAAGCTGTAGCTCTTCCAAGGGTGAGAAACTCCTCACTTAAAATTTTGCTGCTGCGTGCAATTTTCATCATCCACAGAAAAAGAATGCAATTTAATTCCTTAACCTTACTGAACAAGGGACAAGCCAGCGAGGTGCATCAGATGAGCAAATGTGTTTGGGTTTCCGGCTTTTGTTGGGGTCAGATGAAAGACAGAGGAAAGCAGATTAGAAAAACAACGAAGTGCCAATACATCAGTAAATTGTGTGTATCGAGTGACTCTGGGACATGGATGGACATCCCTTATGTCCTTTATATTTCAAGAATTATCTCACTATTTGTTGCTTTGAGCTTACAGAAGCTTCCTTCACTCTCATGGGTTATCCGACCAAACGTTTCTCAGGTTTGCAGGCATTCTGGTTCAAGCTGCTGAACCCCTGTTATGCCCTTTTATTCAAGGCATTCCTTTACATCACCTTTATCTCCAACTCAATGTTCTGTCAAACAACCACTGAGAGCATTTCCAAGATCCGTGCACTTTTACATGAACTGGAACTCAGTACTGGAAAGATGTGTTGCTAGCAGGACTTTGCTTCCTTCCTTGGCTTCATTTTCCAGTCTGAATCTACACAGCTGCTCTGCAATGAGGAAAATTGCTCTGAGCTGGTGGGACTGGAGGTTTTGACAAAGCGTGCTGGAATGCACCCATGTTGCTAATGAGTGAAACTGAGCGTAGGACGGCTGCAGGATGTCCTCTGTGCCCTGAGCTGTTGGTCTCCGTCCAGTTCATGGCCTGCAGGCCTGTTCAAACAAACCCTGCAAACAGGCATCCTTGTTGCACACCTCAAGCAGACCGCATCACGGACAGCGCGAAGGTGGGAGCTGTGCTTTCCTGTCAGCCCCCAAAGGAATCCTCTTGCACTGAGACCAAGCTGTGATGATGGAGTGAAGGTAGACTGCTGTGCTAGCAGCATGTCAGTCCGGCACGTAAATAGCAGCCTTCACCCTCCAGAATTGGCTCCTTACGCAACTGCTTGAAGTGCAGAGTAAGAAACTGATTCAGCCTGCTTTCATGTGCTTGGCCACACGAAAACCACCTCAATCTATTGATACACAAAAATGGTACCAAGGGCAGGTGCTTGGCAGCAGCAGCGTTGCACTGTGAGCAGCATCGTTAGGTTTGTTCTTAGTGGGACTGTACTGCAGCCAGCGTTTACATGACAGCAGGTGGCTTTTTAATTAGGGAAACGAAGCATCCATAAGCACCAAAACAAGAGACCTGAAATCATCCTTATTTTGTATTATGCAGAATTTCTGTGTTCGTCAGTGTACAAGCGATTGCTAAACAGGTCCTCACTAGGTTTACTTGCAACTCAAAACAAGGTGGCGATTATGCAAACAGGTTGCCTTTATGGAGGCATCTCCAGGGTGAGTTTAAGCCTGTCCTGTTTGGTTCCTCTTGTCTAACTCTTACAGGTCGGTAAATGTTCATGTTGTTATAAAGAGCTGTGGGGCTGTCGGCCACGTAGTGCGGCTGGTAGAAGTTAGCCTGGATGGGCTGTGCTGGGGGGGGTGTGAATGAAACAAAGCTGTGGAAGGAATTAACTCGATGCCGAGGTGACGGGGGGGGTGAAATTGCTGCTGAATATGAGAGTTCTTGGGGTTTGCTTGGTCTGATGGTTGCTTCCAGTTGAGAGGCTGCTCAAGGGGTCTGAAAGAGTGTTAGCACTTCCCTCGTCGCTGTCAGGCAGGCTGCGCGGCAGGGCCCAGCTCTGGCTGAAGAGGAAGGGCATGGTGCGTGGTGGAGACTTCGGTCCCCTCACTGGCTTGGACAGTGCATAGAGGTGGCGGAACTCCTCGTCAAACAGCTCCACAACTTGACCAGTGAACTTGGAGAGGAGGTTGCGGTGAACCTGGCCACATAACCATGTGAAGCTGGAAGGAGAGACATGGTAAGGGTTAGCCATTGGCAATGGGAGGTCCCCAGTGAGTTGGTACTGAGGCTCATGGTACAAACACAGGATGGAGGTGGTGTCCTGGCTGAATTTTAGGTCAGTTCACATCAGTGCTCTCTCTTTGGCTTTTGGGTCAAACCTTGTTATTGCAGCTGCCGCTAAAACCTCCAAGAAACTCTCTGTAAAGTTTTACGGCCTCCTAAAGGCAGTGGTGGAAACCAGGACCTGTGTCCATGTCAGTACATGTCAGATGCTTCGTGTTTGGCTGTCTGTTCCACAGCCTGGCTTTAGACTCCTATTTAGGAACCGCTCTTCCTCATGCAGGGCTTGAATTAAGGTCTTATCACGTCTTGTCTGCAGAAACATAAATTGTATCTTCCCTGCACAACAACATGCTCGTTTGTAAATCTCACCCACTCAGAACTGACACGAGGAAAACTAATGAAGAACAACTGTTCTTTGTTTGCACTGTGCTGTGCCTTTGTTTGCACTGGTCAGGAGAAGCACACAGGAACCCAACCTTCCTGTGGCATCCTGCCCCCACAACGCAAACCACCACACCTGCATTGACAAGTTGAACAAGTGCTCATTTCCTTCACTATAGCTAGAATGAAATGAAAAATATTTCCACAGCCTTTACAAAATTAGTAATAATAATAATAATAACAAACCACCTACTTTGCTGTAAAGGATAAACACTACAGCAGTTTTTATTCTGGGATCCAGAGACACGCCTCAGAACACTCCATGGCCTGTAAATGATTTTTCTTTTACACACTACCCTAATCCACTCGGCAAACATACATCTGTGCTCTTTTTCCAAACCACAAGCTCACTCAAACGAGCTGTGCAGACTGCCTTGTGCCACAGCATCATCAATAAAACAAAATGTAATTACTCCCTGAGCTGAGCGGGGCTTGCGTTGTGCAGCAGAGGCTGTAGAGCAGCGCTGGGTTTGAACCCAGGGTTACTCAGTGTCAAAAAGAACCAAAAAACGTGTCCCAGTTATTCCTGTGGGAATTTATTAGCTATGCTGGATTTGCAGAAGCATTACCAACAGCCAGATTTGGCTGTAGGTGTGTGCACTTCACATCCTGTTGTTGCAATGTTTTGACAAAACTCCTGTGAAACTCAGAAGGGCTGACGGCCTCAGCTGACACTTAGACACAGTTTGCATCTGCTGGTTTGGGGCATTCTTGAAGAGGGTTAGGTTTGGGACGTACATTGTTTCTATACTGTTAATTCAGGAGCAAGGGGGAGGGGTGAAGTAACCACAACTTGGGCAATTCATAGAATCACAGAATGGTTTGGGTTGGAAGGGACCTTTAGGATCACGTAGTTACAACCCTCTGCTATAGGCAGGGACTCCTCCCTTTAAACCACGTTGCTCAAAACCCCATCCAGCCTGGCCTTGAATGCTTCCAGGAAAGGGGCATCCACAATCTCACTGGGCAACCTGTTCCATCACCCTCACTGTAAAGAATTTCTTCTTACTATCTAGTCTAAATCTACTCTCTTCTGGTTTGAACCCATTTCCCCTTGTACTGTTGCTACCTGCCCTTATAAAAAGTCCCTCCCCATATTTCCTGTAGGCCTCCTTCATGTACTAGAAGGCCACTTTAAGGTTCCCCCAGAGCCTTCTCTCCTGCAGGCTGAAGAGCCCCATCTCTCTAAGTCGTAACATACAGACTATACATTTTATGCCTGAGCATGACAATGCACAGTAAGTTACTAAAATGTGGGTACTACTCATCCACTTTAGGCAAATCATTCTAAACACCTAAAACCTTGAGAGTTGAGGTAAGCAGCCCAGCAAGCCAGCTTGCTGCTGTCTGGTAACAGCTGCTGCACTAGTGTGGCATTGCCTTTATTCACAAAGAAGCATTCGGAATCTTTCCCTGTCCTCCATCAAACTGTTAAGAAGACTCCAAACAAGAAAAAAAACACAGTAAGTGCACCCAGTGAGACCTATGTGATGTTAGACAGCTGCATGTGGATGTGTGCTGCTTCCAGCTCTGGTGCTGAGGAAAGAGGGCCAGCTTATTCAGGAGCTTCTTCTTGGTTCTTGGCGGAACCAAACGTACCTGCATGACTGAAGCAATAGATTTTTAATGTACTTTTAAACACTGCTCTGGAGCAGGAGATCCCAATAGGTTCAGTGTGGTTCATTTTCCTCTGATTGCCAACTTCAGCCCCCCTTGCTGTCTTTGAGGCCAACACATTTTGTTCCCAGACCCTTTGGCTGCGAGCAAAGCAGCCCCGGTCCCTTGCAGAGCACTGGGTACCAAAGGACTATTTTATTCCCTCAGCCTGCTGTCAAAAAGTCATGCAGACTTTTTACAGTTCTGTGAGTTTTCATAGACTCATAGATCATAAGGATTCTATCCTTAGAGTTGGAAGAGAGCTCTGAAGGCCATCAAGTCCATCTCCCCTGCAATGAACAGGGATGCTACAGCTAGATCAGGTTGCCCAGGGCCTTATCCAGCTCCACTCTGAAGGTCTCCAGGGATGGGGCATCAACCACATCACTGGGCAGCCTGTTCCAGAGTCTCACCACCCCCACTGTAAAAGATGATTTCCTTATATCTAACCTAAATCTATCCTCCCTGAGCTTGAAGCCATTTCCCCTTGTATTTGTAAAGGTATTTGCTTTAAGGTATTTTGTGTTAGTTTTGAGATCTACTCAAATTTCCTTTCCAACACTGCAGAAGAGTCTGTTTTACTCTCTTTTAAGATCCTTATTGTTTACACCTGCAGAGATTGGTGGGCAAGATTTGGTGATGATAAAACTTTCAGATGAATGAAGTGAGAGCCAGAAGCCTACAGCAATGCCATGTATTGATTGCCGTTTATAAGCTGTGTGAATCCACAAATTGAGCATGATGAAGTCAAACAGCATACGGATTTGTTCCTCACCATTATCTCTGCTTGCTTGCTGCATAGGAGATAATGGATAACGTAGGATAACTTTGACAAGGCTCTTGAATTTAGAAGATAATGCAGCAGCAGAAAAGAATGAGAGGAGTGACTCTGCACTGCAGAGGACTTGAAGGGTTTTTCTTTTATACTCTCTTTTTTTTTAATAGGATATAAAAGCCAAAAGGGTCCTTCTTGGCTAGAGAAAAGTTGTCCTGCTCAGTCCCTTTTCTCCCACATATCTTCTTCTATTCTCCACAAAACTCTGTTTTTGCACTTCTAAACAGATTTGATGAGAAATTAAAACAAAACTGAAGAACAATTAAGCTGTAGAGTCCGATAAATCAAACAGAAAGCCAACAACATGGTTTGCTCACTCCTTGTCTGACGGTTCGTTTGGAAAGTGAATGAAAGAATGGGCGCCTGCCTCTGGAGACAGCTGAGCTCTTACAGCCTTCGCTGTCCCCACGTGTTCACATTTACCTTTGTTCTTACAGTTACATAATCTTCCTGCTGGCACAGTTTATCGAAGCAATTAAGTTCCAAATCACAAACCTGGATTAAGGAAAACAATCTCATCCTTTTAATTAAATAATCACATGTGTAATTTTTTCCCTTGTCTTTTTTGTATCTGAGTTTCTAGGATACACCTCAGTCATTTGTGATGCTTATCTACGTAGCCATGAGGCTTAGGAACTATTTATTTGATGCAAACTCAGAGTCTCATGAAATTCCCTGACCTGAGGATTATGGACCTTAATTAAAAGCCCAGTTGAGATGCTACATCCTGTGCCTGAAATCATCAAAACAACTTGCAAAAAAGGAAAAAGAAAAGAAACCAAAAACACACACACACAAAAAAACCCAACTGCAGTGGTGCATCTCACCTGTAGGATCCAGAGAGAACGTATCTCCAGTCAGAGATAAGAAATTTTTCTTGTATTTGTCCTGAAAATTTCCTGCCTGATTTGGCACAGTATACCTCTCCAGTAACACTGCGGACTGAGATATTCTAGTAAAGAAAAAAGAATAATTTGAACAGAGTGAATTACATGTTTGTTTGTCTGAACTAAAAATCAGAAGGAAAAGGCCTCTTTTCCCTCTTGTCTTCAACACTTCACCTTCCCTCATTCCTGTTACGGTTTCATCATGGACTCCATTGTTATATTTAAAGGTTTGGGCACGATGGAAGCCCAGACAAGTTTTCAGGGCTAATTTTTCAGTGGGCAAATAAACATACAGGAAAATTTGCACAGAGGAGCTGCAAGCTGTGACAATATGGCTGCTCCCCCTAGTCGAAAGAGTACTAGAGATGTGTCTATAGCCAAGAATAATCTGTCACCTCTGCTGACATCTCAGCTCTAGATTTGATCCCTCTAGTTTTACACTGATCAATGGCACAATACAGCAGGGCAAAACCTTTCCTCTTCTAATCAGTACAGGCAACTGAATGGCTGGTGAAGCCCAGACAAGCCATCGATGTTGTATCAAATGTAAGTACGTGTGCATGGAGCTGAAGGTGTCTTTGGCCCATGGTATCAATTTGCAGAATCATTTCTGTGGTTGGAAAGACCACTAAGAGCTCCTAGTCCAACCATCAGCCCACCTCCACTATGCCCACTAGCCATGTCCCTCAGTGCCACGTCTCCATGGTTCTTGAACACCTGGTTCAATGGTTAACTTTAAGGTCAATTTCCTCCAGCAGGAATGATGTTGGATTAAGCTAGCAGACAGCTAAATTTGAGGCATTACCCTTAAAGCAAAGCCTGAACAACATAATTTTATTACATTTCATGCAAACACGCAGGGAATTCAACTAAAACACTGAGGCTGAGGATCAAGAGCAGCAGTCAAGTGAGCCAGGCAATGCCAGCAGAACTCGGCCCTCACAGCCCAACTGAGAGCACCCAGTTCAGTCTTTCTGGCCACCCAGGATTTTCATATGCAGGGTTATGTGTGCAGCTAGAGCTTCCCACTACCAATGGCTACCAGACCACCTTTGGGTCTAATGGACATCTAATGGGCATCCAGTCTAATGGACATATAATGGAAATGCCTTAGCTTCCTCAAAAAATGCATGGAAAAGTGTAGGCATTTTTAGAGAATAATAAGATTACAGTACCTCTGGAAATCTCCTTCTCTGCTTTAATTACATGCTAGGGATGTTAGAAATGACCCTAGCTTAACTGTGCTTCTAACCCAAAGCCTAAAGAATTTCAGAGCCACAGTACCTTGAAGAGATCCTCAGCAATCTGCAGCTTGTCACACATCTCCGAGAAGAGATTTATATTGCCATGGTCCAGCAGCAGGTAGACAAATACCATGCGCTTGTTGGCTGCCTCCAGAAGGTCACAAAGGATCTCAGTGTCTGTGAATACATCCATCACGATAGCCAGCACCTAGGGGAAAAAGCAGAAGCATTAGTTGATGTCATGGTTGATTAGTTGAAGTCATGGCTGCCTGAAATGCATTGGGTATTTCATGGAATCACAGGACCATAGAATGGCCTGGGTTAAAAAGGACCACAATGGCCATCTAGTTTCAACCCCCTGCTGTGTGCAGGGTCACCAACCAGCAGACCAGGCTGCCCAGAGCCACATCCAGCCTGGCCTTGAATGCCTCCAGGGATGGGGCATCCACAGCCTCCTTGGGCAACCTGTTCCAGTGCCTCACCACCCTCTGAGTGAAAAACTTCCTCCTAATACCTATCCCAAACTAAACCTTGTCTCAATTTAAGACCATTCCCCCTTGTCCTGTCACTATTCACCCTCGTAAACAGCCGTTCCCCTTCCTGTTTATGTGCTCCCTTCAAGTAGTAGAAGGTCACAGTGAGGTCTCCTGGAGCATTCACTTTTTTTTATTTTAACTCCAACAAATAAAAAATTTGAAACATATGTGTGGATATTTATTCTGTTTCTCCATGCATCACTGAATCAGTGAGACACGTTGCTTCACTGTTTTATTGCTCATATAAATCCAACATAACACGCAATGTACGCACTTCAGTTACATTCTTTTCATCACCAAACATAATGTGAACCAGCAAATTGTAGGTGAGATTTCAGCACTAGGAAGGATATTAAAACACTAATGAGAGAATAATAAGGATGTAGCTAAAATAAGAGACCTCAGCTCTTGCCAAGTGGCTTTCATAAGTCACATGCATTTAGCAAGTATTGAATGATGCTTTCCCTGTTACAACTTAGGTCTGGAGCAGCCCTGTTTTTAAATCCGCTCCCTGCAGTTGGTAGTGGGCTGACAGACTGCAACAGCTTCATGTTTATTTCTTTTTATATCCAACTTTCACAATGATTTATGAGCTAATTGTTTCAGTTTAAACATACATCCACGTTTCCAAAGTCACAAACGGCAGGAGCATGTGTAAAAGCCTTGGAGCAGCACGGACTGCCCATTAAAGACCCTCCAGCTGCTTAAATTCACAGCCTCCAGGCAGTGCGTGGTTGAAGGAGCCATAAATGTGCTGTAAAACCAAGCTCATGCCACAGCCACTAGGCTCAGCACTGAGGTCTCACCATCCTCCCTGCTGTTGTCCACAGAAAGAGGTGTCTGCCAGGGCAGCTCAGTGCAGCCGTACCCATCTTACCTCCAGGAGGTAACAGCTGGAGAGGGAACCCCTCACAGTTGCCCTCACAGGGCATCACGTTCAATAAAATACAGCCCATGGAAACAATTTTTACAGATTTTTGCAGATCTGCCCCACTAGTTTCTTTCAACTTTGGCTCAATCTTACAGAAAGCTTATTCCCTTTCCACCCCCATATATGAATCCCACAAGACCAATTGCCAGATTATTTGGGTAGCAGTGAGGATCGCACAGCTTCATTCTGCTGCCGGAGCGCAGTGCTTCAGAAAGGGCCCTGCCAGGGCCAGGTAATGGCCCAGTGCTGCCCAACACCTTATCCTCACACTTTGTTAGCACATTTTGGACCGCGCTTGCCTTTATACACAGCACAGAACTGCTGTCTCACACTCAGCCTCACCACAGCTCCAGACCACTCTCACATGCTGCTTCTTCACCGGTTGTTCTCCATTTATGTTACTGCACTTGGCTCTTCTGTCTTCCTGGCAATACTCCTCATTTCTTTTGCCTGAATTTCACTTTACAGTTTGTGCCTCACAAGGATGTTAGGGTTACAGAGTCATACAATCATTAAGGATGGAAAAGACGTCAAAGATAAACTAGTCCAATCGTTCATAATCCAACTGATTACAGACTCTATTAGGATTGTAGTACTCTCAGCTCTCCAGCCCTCCACAGTTTGATGTCATCCACAAACATATTCCTTATTCTATTTATGCTCTTAATGGATACCTTAAGTACTATGGTATCCAGCATGTCCCCGTATCACACACTAACTATTCCCATCACTGAGAAAGTGTACTCAAACAGCAGTTGCCAAATGTATACTGTCAGCAGCCCATTTGAACCATGGATGCATATTGCATTTCCCATTTTTTCCCCCAGAATTTTTCTCTTCTTGAGATAAGACGTTTTTCTCTGTTAATACCTTTAGCATTACTTTAGCATTACTTTAGCATTACTAATACCTGAAGGGAACCTACACCCAGGAGGGGAGTAAACTCTTCAAAAGGGCTGATAACAGCAGGACTAGGGGAAATGGTTTTAAGTTGAAGGAGGGAAGATTTAGGTTGGATGTTAGGGGGAAGTTCTTTACTAGGAGAGTGGTTAGGCCCTGGAACGGGCTGCCCAGGGAGGTTGTGGATGCCCCGTCCTTGGACGTGTTTAAGGCCAGGTTGGACGGGGTCCTGGGCAACCTGATCTAAATGTGTATGTTTGGTGGCCCTGCTAGGCAGGGGGGTTGGAACTACATGATCCTTGGGGTCCCTTCCAACCCGGGTGATTCTGTGATTCTGTGATTCTGTGATTACTAGTGCCAGCTCCAACGGCTCTGACTCTAGAGGGCTCCACAGCTGTTTTGGAGAGCGGGACCCACAAACCTCCCTTTCCACCTGGGTATGTATGGTCTTGCCTATCTCCAGCCAGCAGAAATTTGAGACTGAAGTTTTTGGAAATGAATAATATTTTGTTTACTTAAAAGCTATGGTGTGTGATCACAATCGCTAAAAACAGAATTTTCAAGAAGTCAGCAAAGAGCACCGTTTCTCTCGGAAAGCAGCTGTGTTCCCAGCTTTTGGGCAGGGCCTCTAGCTCCTCACCTAAGGCTGAGGATGTGGCCAGTACTTTGCCATACAGGAAGAAATGCAAGAAAATAATTCCTTGCATCCAATATGGCCCAGTGCTGTGACCCTTACACCCCCCTCGGGGATTTCATTGCTGCTCAGGAGGCCCTACATTTCCCTTCTAATACAGCAGTCACAAAGAGTTTGTTTCTGACCATTCATCTGTGAGGCTGCCAATGGAACCTCAAGTTTACATGGACAAAATCTCTTAACAGTAATAAGAAAAGATCTGAAATATTTTCCCCTGAAAACTGAGCTGAGCTGTCACAATACCACCAGAACACACCACCAAAGGTTTTTGTCCCCTTCAGCTGTTTGTCCTCAGATTTTCCACTTGTGCACACTGTGACAGGCATCTCTCCATGTCCCCGTAACTTGTCTGTATTAGACTTCCCCTGCACCTCTCCCACACTCTGAGTGAGGCTCTGAGGCTCTGTATGGAGCCTGTGTGACATTTTAGTGGCACTGATAAAGTACTGGGGATGAGATGCCTTCTGAATGGGTTGTTCCCTGGGGGATATCTCCTGGCACACACATACCCCCTTTTCAAGGAGCTCTGTCCCCCCACACCTCCCACCAATCCCTTACAACAACCACTGTTTATTCAGAGCTTGCTTCAGCTTAATTTTCATTCACGGTAGGACAGCGCTGTGCACGGCTCCTGCAGCCTGGCACTGAGTTGCTACAGGCCAGTCCTCCATCATGACCACAGCCAGGCGGATGCACTGAGGCAGTGACAGCGATGCACTTGCTCAATAGTGGGCTTTTTCTAGAGCAAAGCTACACAGTAATGCACAAGACTGGCTCTAAACACACACCGCCTTTACCCAGTCTTTCTAAGGGCAGGAGGACAAACACATGCAGAGGAACACAAGCTTTCTCTCCATACCTGCGTGGTCTTGTTGATGTATCGGCGTATGATGTCTCTGATGTTGCTGTTCTTCTCTGTCTGGAAGTACACGGTGGCTGTGGACTTTTCCTTTAAATAGGGCTTGTCCGCTGTAATCCATGTGTGCAGGAGAGCGGGCTCACTGCTGTCAGAAATGGTGGGGAAGTACGTCCCTGAAGGCAGGGAGCCGCCATCGTTCTGCCTTTGCGCGGCTGCCCCATCCGTGGGGGATTCCTGCGCGTAATAGGACTCCCGGGCGTTCTCCTTGATGTACCGAGCTTCCACTGAGGAGAGGAAATCCACCTCTCCCTCTTTGCTTAAAGTCTGGAGATACGAGTCTGTCCCACCATCCAGGAAAGCGTCCGTGGCCAATCTGATGCTTTCGTTGTGGCTGAAATCTGCTTTTGTCGACTTCAGGGACTGGTTCTTGATGTCCTCCAGCCGCTTTTTTATCTTGCCCATGTGTCTGGGGTGGCTCATGGCTCTGTGTCTCAGCAGCCGATCTGCAGAGTAGGCACCATGCATATGCGTGGTGCAGGCGACGCAGTCGCCCGTCGTGTTGGGAGTCTGCATCCTGGCGTAAAATCACCTTGACCGAACGAATTAACTCTGAATAAAAATAAAGAGATCTTATTACCTCTGGCAAATTCACACTCCCTGATTCTGTCGGTACAATTATCTTCAAAAAACAACCCAAGCTTACTACTCAGGTGGTGGTGTTCTCCAGCAACACTCTGCTTCCAGATGGAACACACGCACAAAGCTGATTAGATTGCTTATCTGCGAGGCACCCACCTCACCCCAAGGGAATCCGAAGGATTCGCGTCCAATTACCAGGGCTGTTTGATTTGGCTGTATTTCCCTACTCGGAGCATCCTGTGAAATGCGAGCAAGGAAAGTATTCAAGCAAAAGCAGGTAGGCTCCCAGGTATCGTTGCACAATCTTCAAAACAGCTTGAGGCTTCTCTGTCCTCCCATAGCATTTGCTATGGAGCAAAAACTTTAACTGGGACAAAGACATCAGCTGCATCCATAGCTTTGGAACAGCAGAAGGGGCTACGGACTCCCGTCTGTACCTACATGCTGTCAGGCAGGCTTAAAAATAAACCTGAAATTCGTCACTGTGCCCCGTTCACAGTATGTTGCTATTACCATGGACGATTCACTCATTTATTTCTTTAAAGCTTTGTGACTATGCTGTCCTATTAAAAGAAAAACACCCCTTCCCAAACATCCTGAGCATTATGTGGAGGAAGGGTTGTGAGCTGGCCTCAAAGCATCAGAAATACAAACACTCATCATTTGATTGTGCACATTTAGCACTGTTTGTTTGGTTTCCTATTTTTTTTTTTTAAGGCTGCAGCTCTGGAGTCACGTTGTCACCGTGGCAGCCCGGCTGCTGTCATTAGCAGCACAGGGGTTCGCAGTGGGGTGAGAGGCAGCGCCTCTGGGAGCCAGGCGGACTGGTATGACTGCGCGGGGCGAGGCGAGGCAGGGTGTGCAGGCACCGTGCCCCAGGTGTTCCATAAATACTTGCGTGCATGCTTTTACGCGGAGGCACGTGTGACACACTTTTATCACACAGGTCGGGTTCGCCATCGCTCTGCTCCACGCTGCTTCAAGGAGCTGTGGCTCTGGAGGGGGCCATAGGCAGAGCAGGGTGGAGCAGACATTGCCTGGCCTCATGCAGGGGAAGGGCTGCTCAGGGCACCTCTGAGCTGGAAGGAGTGCTGTCCCTCTTACCAGCAGCTCTGGAGCACAGGTGTCCTCAGGGCTCGTCAGAGGCCTGTTTTTCCAGGGTAGCTTCCCAGATTCTGTGTCTGTGTCCCCACAGTCTATTTTCAGATGCCTTATGGAAAAAAAGAAAAGAAAAGAAAAGAAAATGATTATATGCCAGCACGACACAAGCATCCATATAAAAACAGAGAGGAGTGTGAAGTGGATCCTATTTCACGCGTAGATCTCTGGGGGAGGGAACACCCACCTCGGGTCGGAGAGGTGGTGTGCGGGCAGTGCAGCTTGCAATGTGACTTTAGGAACTGTCCCCTGCCCTCCCCCCACCCCGACATCCGCCCACAGCTGTCAGACGCAGCAAAAAGTCATTAATTATCTAGTGACCTGCTCTGCGCAATTATGTTGAAAAGGATGCCGCCTAATTAATGTGACGTGAGAGATCGCGCCCTGTCAACACCAATCAGGTCCTCCCCGGGCCCTGCAGGGACATCACTGCCCTGCCTGCCGTCCAGCCCCGGCTGTGCCAGCACTGCCACCTTGGCTCTCACAATCAGCATAGGGTCCAATACGGTCACCAAAGGGTCCCTCATGGCCATCCCGATGTCCTGAGGTCCTTGCATGCCCACCTCAAGGCCCACACCATCACCACATGGGGTCCCTCCTGGTCACTTTGGGGACCACACAGCCAAACCAGTGTCCCCACAGTTACCCTGGGGAAGACCCCAGTGTCAGGCTGGGGCCCCATAAGGTCACCTCACGGCCACCTTGAGGCCCTACACTATCACACTGACGATGTGCACAGCCACCACAGGGTCCCACACTGTGACCTTGGGGCCCCACGCTGCCACACCGATGACACCTGTGGCCACCACAGGCTCCCACACTGTCACCTCGGTGCCCCACAGGGTCACCACAAAGCGCCATGCTGTCTCCACAGCCCTATACACTGTCACGGTGGGGTCCCGTATGGTCACCACAGGGTCCTACACGGCCACTGTGAGGCCCCACACAGCTGCCATACGGCACTGCGGCACAGAGCCAGTCCCAGCAGCCGCGGGGAGGGCCGAGCTGTTTCTCCAGCCCTCTTTTTCCCGTACTGCAGGCAGAAGAGGCCACCGTGCCCTTGGCGACCGGGAAAAAGACGGGAGAAAGAACACCAAGATTCACCCCGGCATCGCAGGGCCAGGCCAAGCTGGACAGTCAGCGGGGGAAGGACGCTTTCAGCCGCCTCGTTAGCGCAGTAGGTAGCGCGTCAGTCTCATAATCTGAAGGTCGTGAGTTCGATCCTCACACGGGGCAAAGGCGGGCGATGTTTTTTTTCTTTCACTTTCTGGTTCCGACGGCGCTGCTGCCCGCGGCGAGGTGTGCGAGGGTCGCGCCGTGGCTTGTGAACAACCTTTGGCTGGCGTTACTTTTTCAGAACCCAAGCTTTTCTCAGCATTTGGGAGCAGAAAAAGTAGAGGTCAGCGCTGGGAGCTCAGAGGTTGTGCAGTCTGACCAGAGGAGCAGCAGGCATCGCCAGCTGCACCCAGCTATGGCTGGGCTCGGCTTCCCCCTGCAAACCTATCTTACACACAGTGCTAACATCTTTACAAACCATAAGCGTGTGCACATAGCTGCCAGCCAAAAATGTATTATTTAAATATAGAAATAATCACGTGCAAATCCCAAGATTTCTAAGTGTGGAGGCCAACGTGATGAACAGCTGCCTCTGTGCACTTAGGAGTCTGTGATGCAATGGGGAGGGGGCTGCTGCTCTCTGCCTCGTGTGCTGCCCTGCCCTGCAGCATCAATGATCATCCTTTTCATTCAGCTTTACCAGTGTGTGCATTACTCATTACAGAATGACAGAACGTCCTGAGTTGGAAGGGACTCATAAGGATCACTGAGTTCAACTCCTGGCTGCTAATATATATATATATATATATATATTATATACATATATATATGTATATATATAACAGGACATCTCCAGCAGCTCAGGTTATACAGCCTCCCTGTACCCTGCTTTTAGCACTGTGATGGTGGTTTGCTTCTTCACGCAGAATGGCGAGAGCTGGAAGGGACCTCAAGGATCATGAATCTCCAACCCCCTGCCACAGGCAGGGCCACCAACCTCCCCATTTAATACCAGATCAGGCTGCCCAGGGCCCCAACCAATCTGGCCTTGAACACCTCCAGGGACGGGGCATCCACAGCCTCTCTGGGCAGCCTGTTCCAGCAAGTTCCTGCTCTTCAAGTCGGGGCTTTGACTGGAACAAATAAAGCATACAAATACTCTATGTATATGATATAACTTAGTGATAAAAAGTCAGTTTATTTTAGAAGTAAAAATAATATTACAGTTATGGAGAAAACAATGAGGTTACAAATGCTGCACATTTTTCTAGCTAGAATTTTATTTTTATATAAAAATATTTCCAAAAGCCTTTATGATAAACAATCTCTAATCGGTCCTTAATCACATCACACACAGTCAGGGTTTGACTGATAATCTGAAAATACAGCTGAGGTCCAGAGCAAACCATCTCAGGTTGTCCACCGTGTGGGTGAGACATGAGCTGGAGGACGCCTGGTTTGGGCCCGCGTTGTGAGCTTCTGTCTGAGCTGCCTGACTTCTGCCATCAGCTCCCGCTCCTGGCGTGCCAGCTCTTGTCTTCTGTCTAAAGATGCTTAAATGGAAGAAACTCAGGCTTAATATTGCAGCTATTTTCCCACAAATACCACAGATGCTTATTGGGAAAAATCCCCTGGACAGATAGGCTCTGTGTTATTACAACCCCTAAGCTCCTTGAAATTGGTACCATGGCAGTGTTATATTTTGTTACAAAAAGGTTGGATGTTGCTGGGGTTCCCTGGCAGCTCCAAAGACGTTTCCCAGTGCATGCAGGGTGATACAGGTAACAAGCAAGGGATTTTAAAATGCGCCTTCATTGGCTGGGACAGCCTGGAGTAGATTATTGGAGACTACTTCTTAACTGTAACTCTGCAGGATTTTCGTGAAGGATGGTTCTACATATGCTCAACAACCCCAAATCATACATAATTATGAAGCCTGAGCAAATATAGGTAAAATGATCAGGTCAGAATGGGACTAAACTAGGTTGAGGCTTAAAATGACTGGTCTCATAATGCAACACACTTCAGGCATTTCCTACTGAGCTATTACTGGCAGTGATTCATTTTTTATGTTTTTCAGGTGTGAAACAGAAGACAACAATAAATGGGTTTACTACCCACTAAGCACCATGAATAATGACTCAATCACCCAGCAAGGTGTTCCAGTAATGCCCCTCAAGTTAAACGTGAGAAAAAAGGGGGCCCTCACTTAGAATCTTACTGTGCGATGACGACTGTGATGCAGATAAATCATTCAGGCAGATGTTCCCAGACTTTGGCACCTGCTGGAATTCTACCCCTCTCTCTGCATGTCTGGCCCTTAAAGCACGCACTCTCTCTGTTGGAAATGCAGAGAAATCATTGTTGTGCATGTTTGAATTTCTAGTGATTTTTTTTCACTTGAGGCAAAACAGTTTTTCTCTAGGGAGTAAAACTGGAACAATATCTCACTCCAGCTAATGGCAAGTAAAATTTGTTCAGAATTTAAAGACAATTTTTGGTCTATGGGGCAAAGCCATGCATCACTGCTTTTCATTTTAACAAATTACAGTTCCATATGTGGAGTTTCTTGCCATATAATTAATCTTCTGACAAATGGGCCACTGAATTCATGTGGAATATGGCTACTCGTACTTGCTGTTTTAGGAGACACTCATTTTAATAACTTGCAGTTGCTAATTAGTCCGTGTTAAAACCATCAGACAAATTAGGGCAAAGTCTGAAAAATCTTGCTGAAAG